ATATGTATGGTGATGGATGGAAACTAGACTTTTGGTGGTGAGCACAATGCAGTCTATACAGAAGCCAAAATATAATGATGTACACCTGAAATTTACACAATGTTATAAACCAATGTGACCTCAATAAAAAAAAATAATAGTAATAAATAATACTCAGAAAGATCTCTCAATATTATCCCACCACACAGTCTTCATCTTTTCTATAAGACTTTTTAGAGGGAAGTCTCAGCTAAGCTATTAGATTTCTGACTCTACAAGAACTCTTAAATAAACCAGTTCTTTTCCTACCATAAAATGCTCCAAAAGGATTTTCTTTATGCATAAATAGCTCTCCCAGCTCCCTTCCCTAATCACAAAAGTCTAAAAAGGAGTAGGCTAGAGCTAGATTTATCCCATCCAGTTCTTTAAGACCAAGGGGCTCAAAAAATCACTCATCCAAAAGGCCTATAACCTGCCTTGGCAGCTGAGGCCAGCTGGGAGTTTGAAAGCCGCACAAGAACTGGGAAGCCATAACACACTCCAAACTTGCAAATATGTTTCAGCCTTTCCAGACATATTGGAGTGATATAGTCCAGAGTTCAAAGCCAAGCTTGTCTTTTCACAAGTATTTATTAAATAACAATGAATAAATAGATATGGTCCACACTCGGTTTGAACTTATCTGCTCTCTCACTTACTATTGGGGTGTCCTTGAGCAAGTCACTTGACTTCTATGAGCCTGGGTGTCCTCATCTATAAAAAAGAGGAAACGGTGTTTATTCCACAGAATTCTTGCATGAGCAAATGAGAAATTGTAACTAATGCATTTAACACAGTGCATGGATTACAGAAAGCTCTCAACAAATGGTTGTTCTGACTATATTATAACCTTGGAGGTATAGCAAAACAGTCTTTGCATTGGTCATTAATTCTCTACAGTAATGCCAAAGGATAGGAAAGTAAATTTAAAGATTCCAACTCAATCTTCCTCTGATTTCACCATCATCTGCTTACAAACATCCAGATTTTTATTTCCAATTCAATACATATATTTTCTCAAAACTATTAGGCACTGGGGTAAGCACTGAGGACGATAAAGAGAGAATGTATGACTCAAAGATTTGTTATTTTGGCTTCTTCACGTGGAGATGTGTGTTGCTATACTTTCATTTGTGGAGTGGACGTAGATTATTTACTCCAGAGTCAGTTACAATAAATAATAAATGTGTGTATTATAAATATCCAGCTCTTTCTTGCTACCATACACAATCATAAGGAATTTTCCTGATTGGTAGCAAACACTGCCACAGCTCAGCGTCTCCCTCTAGTGGCCTGAGTAAAACTGAAGCTTGAAAGTTAGGGAGCAATCCCCAGCCTTTCCTTAATTACAAGGGTAGATGGATTTCCTCCCCGCTATGGTATTGACTCTCTGGACTCAAGCCTTTGCTCAGCATTGGAACTAATCAAGCTACCCATGGGGCAGCATCCAGGCTGTTTGCTCAAGCTGCTTTACCTAGGGTCTGGGATATCTTAATTCACACTGGTCAGGAGTCAACAACAGCTACTCACTGGTAAAGCTCCCTTGTCCATCTCAACTTTCTTCTACAAAGCTGAGAAACACTGGTTCCCTGCTGCTAACCTCTAGTAGTGCAAAAGGTACAGAGGCCATTGAGGAGAGGGACTTTTAGATTGGATTGAATTTTTCATTTTTTCCTGAAGATAATGGGGAAGAGAAAGATTAGTCATAATAGTGTGTCAAGACTCCTTCATAGTCTGTCACATGCACACACACCACTTTCCTCACACACAAAATGGCAGACCATTGGCTATCTCAGATTTCCTATACACAGAAAAGAAGGCTTTAGATAGCTTGGAAGACATTCTCTAAAATTTATTGTAACTATCCAGCCTGGGAAAGGAAGTGGTTTTGACATAGGAGAAGGAAAGAAACAGATTAGGGCAGCTCCAGATTTCTTATATCTGTGTGCAGTGGACACCCCTAATTTTTAATATATGCTGATGGAGTTCAGGGCAGGCTGCTCCAAGATGTGCCACTTTGGCAGGCAGACTATTTCAAGCTGAAAACAATCAATACCCAAAAGATTCAAGGTCAAAGAAGAACCTTTGACCTTCCCTCTAACTATCTAACAGAATTCAGATAAAGGACCTGTTCTAGGAAGAGAGCTATCACCATAGATAACTACAGTATAATATGAACTAGGTGTGATAGACGGGAAGGAACATAGCAACATCTGTTTGTTAAAATTCCTCTCTCTGCCCCATTGTTTCTGTATGGCCCAGCAAACATTTGTTTACCAAACATTTACTTTTTTCATCTTCCTGTGAATTGCTTTTCTTCCCTTTGGAGTCCTAGATCCCTACTCCCTTCTTCTTAGTCCAAGATGACATATATATCTCATTTTGCCTGACTGTCTTTGGAATCTTCCATGCTTATGTGGATAACCCATACATATGAAATTAAATTTGTTTTTCTCCTATTAATCTGTCTTACATCATTTTAATTATTCGACCAACCAAAAGAACTAAGAGGGTGAGGAGGAAATTTTCCCCTCCTTAACAATGCTTTGTTAAGAATTTTCTTTTTTTACTTCACTGCTTCATCTAATTTACTGAAGAGAGGGTTTTCTGAATTTTAGATATTCACCAGATGAGAAAATCTGCCACCCTAACATCTTTCTTAGAGTTGATTACCTTAGGGATTAATGAAAAATTGAATAGAGGTACTGTTGGAGAAACATAATTAAAAACAAAATCTCCTGCCACCCTAGAAAATCTCTCCATAAAAGTAGAAGAAAAAGAAAACAATTTTATTATTGAATAAGCATTAAACCAGGATGTGATGTGAATTATGGGCAATCTGCTAGGGAGATTGTAAAAACAAAGAAATCTTGCCCTTTTATACAGCCAAGCAGATACAATCCACTTTATACATTTTCTCGAGATAAACAATGACCAGTCCTCAAATGACCAGTCCTCCAATGAGACTTTACTGCACCATTTGTCACACATAATTCGTCCTAAATTCATTTGGTAAAACTGTTTCTTCTGTTAAAAAAGAGACAACAGGCCCAAAATAAAGTCACTTGTGCTAAGCCCCACATCAGCAAACCAAGACTTAATACCTAACCTAATTGCAGTTACAACCTCCCCCAGGAATATGGTCTTAACCGATCAGTCTGGAAGTTTCTAGTGAACACCAATGAAGTAATCTGCCACACAGCCTGCTTCGTCCCCCATAGGTAGGTTACCTAAGCCTGAAGCAATCCACTCTTTCCCCCTTCTGCCTATAAAAGCCTTCCATTTGGTACCGCTCCTTGGAGCTCCTTTCTACTCGCCAGATGGAATGCTGCCCGATTCATGAATCGTTCAATAAAGCCAATTAGATTTTTAACTCTTACTCTGTTGAATTTTTGTGATTTAACACTTTTAAGCTCCCTCCCCATGCTGCTCCTGACTGTTGGAGGTATGACCTCTATGTTTCTCAAGGACAAGCAGTAAAATATTTTGCACTTTGTTTTATTTCATTTCGAGGAGCTCAACAAGGGCAAGCCTGGGTCTGCTTTGCTCACCATTGAACCCACATTGCCCAGCATATAGTAGGCGCTCAGCCTATATTTGTTGAAGGAATGAAGGAAAAAATGAACGACCAAACTACAGCCAACCACCAACTACAAGGATAATATAAAAAAATCCATAATTCCCCTCCCCAGGTTCATTTCTTTTTTTTAACCTCTTTTTTTCTATTATAGTTCTATAATTTACATGCAGTAAAATGCACCCTTTTTGACATACAGCCCTATGAATTATGAGAAAGCTGTACAGTCATGTAGCCACCACCACAAGATACAGAACAACCACCAAAAAATTTCCTCCTGCTCCTTGAAGGTCAGTCCCTCCCCCACCCCTTGCTCCTGGCCACCACTGGTGTGTTTTCTGTCCCTTCTGTTTTGCTTTGTCCTGAATGTCACAAAAGGTAGACTTTAGTTCTGACTTCTTTAGCTAACACATTTGAGATTCATCCATGTGGTTGCATATATTAGTAGTCCCTTCCCTTTTATTACTGGGCAGTATTCCATTGTGTGGGTGCAACACAGTTTGTTTGTTTAGCCATTCACTACTTAAAGATCATTTGGGTTACTTTCAGGGTTTTTTGGGAAATTATGAATTAAGCAGCTATAAACATTTGCAGAAAGTTTCTTAGAGGTTTTAGTTTTTTATTTCACTTGGGTAAATACCTAGGAGTGGGATTGCTAGGTTGTGTGGTAAGGCTATGTTTAATTTCATGAGAAACGGCCATATTGCTTTCCAAAAAGGCTGAACCATTTTGCATTTCCATCAACAGTGCATGAGACTTCCAATTCCTCTACCTTCCTTGTTAGCACGTATCAGTTCTTGCTTTTGTTTCAGTGTTAGCCGTTCTAATACGTGTGTAAAAGCACTGCATTGTTGTTTTGATTTATACTTCCCTAATGTCTATGGCGTTGAGCATCTTTTCATGTATTTATTTCCCATCTATATATTTTCTTTGGTGAAGTGTCTGTTCAAATATTTTGCCCATTTTGTTGTTTATTGTATGTTTGCTTCTTCCTGAGTTTTCAGAGTTCTTTATATGCTCTCAACAAAAGACTTTTTATCAGATATATTTATTACTAATATTTTCTACTGGTCTGTGGCTTGACTTTTAATTTCTTTTAACCTTTTCTTGTTTTAAAACAAGATCCCCCCTCTGACAAAAATACTACCAAGTGGTTTAATAAATTTAGGTATAAGAAGGGAAAAACTCCATGACCTGTCTGTAATTGCAGATGGGGCTTCCCCAGAGGCTCAACGCTCTTGTTGAACAATGGCTTCTGGTTAAGGCCAACAGCCTGGCTCTTTCAGGCTCTGACATGTTAGAAGTTGTGGGCGAGTGAACCTCTGACTCTCCTCCCCCTGGGCTCCTCCTCCCTCTGCAAAGAGACACTCTTCTCCTTTCTACTCTCTCTGCACCGGTAGCTAGAGCAACACAGCCAGTCTCTCAGGAACTCCTTGTCAGAGCACAAGGTGGGCTGAGAGAGAGGCACCAAGAGGACTGAGAGGATGGGAAACTCTCTGCTGAGGCAAAACAGGTGAGTCCAGACTCCCTGAGGGGGAGTAGAGGAGATAGGTCATGCCAATGTAGCCAGAAAGAGAAAAAGAGGTCTGCTCTGGGGTGGGAGGGAATTGGGAAAGGAACTGATAAGAATGAAGTGCCTGCTATGTAGCAGAGACCAAGTTCAATTCCTTATAATCTGGTCTTCTCCCCAGAATCACAGTGAGCAGCTGGTGGAGAACAGCTGAAAAGTGGAAGGACTTTATCAAGGGAGGTCTATGCAATAGACCACCAGCTAAGAAATGGAACAGCTTGCTGAGGCCTGGGAAGGGATGCTCTCCTGAGCTCTTAATGTCTCAGAAGGATCTCAAACACAACACCATCCTTTTAGTCACCATTGAAGTTCAAAATAAATTGCAAGCCTCCTGCCACCATGAGGCCTCCTCTGGTGCACACTCCCTGCAACAGGCAAGCAGAGGTCACTGACATCAGTAGAGAACTTGGCCTAACTTTTCGGGACCTCAGTTACCTCATTTTAAATGGAAATAATAATAATACAATATCTGTCTTGGAGGGTTCTAGTATGTGTGATGATAGCATAGTGCCTGACACATAGTAGGGTTCAATAATTAGAAGGTTTTTCTTTTGGACCATCATCTTCATTAACATCAAAGCAGCCATTGTAAAAATTAGTACCATCCAATACAAGGGAATCCCCAGGGTACAAAGTGAGGTAGTTTTATGTTTGATGTGCCAGATTTCAGTTCGTGCCACTGGGAGCTAGGGCACAGAACCCAAAATGCCACCTGCCAAAAGAAGGCTTGGTGAGCCCGTGGAATGTGTCCTCTCCCCTCCTGAGAGTCAGTGTTTTCTGAGACTTCTCCTCCCCAGATCTTCACAGGCCTTTGTCAGTCTGCCACTCCAGTAGCCTCCTATCAGATTATGAATCCCCATTTTTATGTCTAGATGCAAGCTCCTCAAATGTAGAGATTGTTTTTTATTCATCTTTGAATTCCGGTTTCCTGGCATTGTTTCTGGCGTAGAGTAGGGGCTCAATAAGTGTTGGATGAATGATTGGAAACTTAAAGAAATCACTGTCTGGAGAAGAGAAATAAAATGAAATACAGATGTGGTGTGACTGAGAAAGTCATGATTGAAGTCACATTTGTAATTTTGTTTTTTAGAACTTTGGTGTTGGGGTGAAGGATTATGACAGTAATATGTTAGTTGTAAAAAAAATGGAAACTACGTGAAGCATAAACAAGAAAATAAAAAACTGGTAAATCACAGTTATAACTACGCATAACATTAGATGCACTATGTTCATTTCAATGTCTATATTTATCAGCCATTTGCATTTCTTCATCTATGAACAGCCAGTAACGTCTTCTGCCCATTTTTGTTTTATTGGTCTACTTTGTTTTCTTGATAGTAAAAGCTATTTGTACTTTGAAAAAATTAGCCCTTTCTCATAAATATTCCAAAAAATATTTTCTCCAGTCTGTGTATCTTGTGCCATCCAGAATTTCTAATGTTTTGCTTATTATATTTTAAACATAATTGAATTAAATGTAGAAAGCTCTTTGGTTTCTACCCATTTATGCTTAAAATTCTTTCCCTTTCTCAAGATAAGACAAATCGACAGTATAATTTTTTATGGTTTTGTTGCTTTACATTTAGCCCTGTACTTTCACTATGTGGTGTCAGATATAAATATATTTTTTTCCAAATAGTTAATCAGTTAGCTCAGCATCTTCATTTCCATGCTGATTTTAAAATGTCTTCCTCAGTATATTCAAAAGTCTTATATTTACTTAGATCTGATTTTCAATTTCACCCCTACCATCTGGTTATCATCCAATCAGCACACCCCCACTATGTATCTCCAGATCAAATTTGTTACAAAGGTGGGGAAAATTCTCCCCATCTGGCAGAATGACACCCATCCCTTCCCTAGAGGAGCTCAGAATCTTAGAGGAAGGAACCTGCCAGAAGGAAACTCAGCCTCTACCACTTACTGGTTGTGGGTCCTCAGATAAGTTGTCTGACATTTTGGTCTCAGTTTTCTCATTGGTAAAAAATCGAATCATAATAGCTACCTTATCAATTTATTTGAGGATTAAATGAAATATAACATATAAGGTGTATATGTCAAATACCTTTAGTAAGTAGCATATATAGTATAGTAAGTAACATATATAGTGCATATATATATCATATAGTAAGTAGTATATATAGTGTACGCATATAAAGCATATAGTAGGTAGTATTTGTTAGTTCCTTTTTCTCTATACTCCCAACTCCCCACAAATGAAAAGATGGTGATACAGAAATCCAACCCAAACATTGAACCAATTTATTTTCTTTATTTAATCCTTCCTTCCCCTTTTCTCCCATGTTCTCTGCCTTAGTGCTTTCTGTGAAAGATGGCAATTTACAGGAGACAAGGCCAGTACCCTTCCCCGTTCATGTGTACAGTCCCCAAAACTGCACCAAGCAGATAGGCGTCTCTCTATACGCTGATATTCTCGGGGTCATTGTAAGGATTCCTGGACATTTGGGAACAAATGATTTAGCACTGGTTGTGTACAGCGGTTGTTGGAGAACAGTGGTGGGTTGTTGCTGTAGCAATGGAGAGAACATCAGATCAAAGACAGGATTTGGTGTAGGTATTAGGAGGGTGTATTAACAGATGTGAGGGTGATTCCGAGATCACACACAAATAGCAGAAATGAGGAAAGTTGGAAAGCCTGGAGAAGAAATATTTAACTCATTCCTGATATGCTGAGTTTTAGGTGGCAGCAGAACACTCAAGAGACACCCTGGAATCTGAGAAATCAAAACCACAAACAGAGAACATCCAGGTGAGAGCAAACCCAACAAAACTTCTCCCAGCCTTTGCCCATGAAGAATGAAGTCTGTCAAGTCCTGGACTTCACATATCCTTCAGTGGAGGGCCCTGCTTAGACCCAGGCAGTTGTAACAGTAGTGAACGTGAAGACAAGACAAAAGACAAAAACACTTTGAACATTTGGATAGGAGATGTGCCATTTTGCTCAGAGCCTAGTTAACCTCTAGCAACCTGAAAGAAGACCCCCATTTTCTGTTGTCTCTTGGTCTATCTCGAGTGCCTTTATGCTCAATCTCCATCCTGGCCATTTCATTTTAAGCTCTAAGTTTCTATTCCTGAGATGACCACATCCCCTACATCTCTGCAATTGTTGAAAAGTTTGTGGGGAAAGACGCTTGTGACTACCCTGATGCTGTTAAACCAAACCTTTTGGGTGCCAGAGAACTTCTAAAATATGGAACTTGTGTCCCAGGGTCCCAGAATCCCAAAGAGTGGCAAAGCCAGTTGTTCTGTGGCCTGTAGAGTTATCTGCACTTTTCTCATGGTTTCAGGAGAAGCTTTTGAAAGAGTATCAATTAGGGCCCGCCCAATGGCTTAGCAGTTAAGTGCGCACGCTCCGCTACTGGTGGCCCGGGGTTCGGATCCCGGGCACACACCGACGCACCGCTTCTCCGGCCATGCTGAGGCCGCATCCCACATACAGCAACTAGAAGGATGTGTAACTATGACATATAACTATCTACTGGGGCTTTGGGGAAAAAAATAAAAGGAGGAGGATTGGCAGTAGATGTTAGCTCAGGGCCGGTCTTCCGCAGCAAAAAGAGGGATTAGCACGGATGTTAGCTCAGGGCTGATCTTCCTCATAAAAAAAATAATAAATTTAAAAAAATTAAAAAAAAAAAAAAAAAGAAAGAGTATCAATTAAAAAGCAACCACTGAGCCAAAGCCTGTGTTAGGAGCTGGGGACCCAGAGATTCCACCAACAGGGTGCATTTCTTCAGAGTAAGCTAAGGATCATATATTTAGGGGGTATCATTGAACATATATTAAAGCATATACTCCAAACGATGAAACAGACCAGAAGGACCATGGGCGTTATACCAACGGAGAGATTGGGTAGACTGGGGAGCCAGGGAACCTTTGTGTAAGAGACAGGAACCTGGAATTGCGGACACGTAACCTGGTGTCATAGAGATTCATCTGGCCTCCTTCATGGAGGTTGTCTGAACCCACTCCAAACCAAAACATGCAAATTGAAATGCAGGAATACATTGCAGAAAAGTTGAGTGGGGGGAATAGCCAATTTAAAAATAGCTTTTGCCTATATTTAACCTTACTTGACCCTTACAATTCCATGAGGTAAGCAGTATAAGTACCCTCATTTTATAGATGAAGAAATTGTGGCTCAAGGAGTTCAGAGATATTGATCCAGTTACTCAAAATCGACTGTCTCCTTTCATCTCAGTCCCATATCTCCTCAGAGAACCTGATTTCTTAGCATTGGTGTGATTCAATGGCTTTCTTCTGGTGTTTCTTTAGCCGCAGAAACAGGAGATATAAGCAAATGGCTTAAAGAACTCTGAGTGTAGCCTGAAGAGGAAGAAGTACAGCCATGCCTCTCAGCCCCAAAGACTCTAATGGTACATAGACCCTAGAGGCTGTCAGAATACTCAGCAGTGCTGGCGCCCACAGCCAAGGTCACATGCAGCAGCCTCTCCTCCATGGTCCTTTCCCAGGGAACTCCCTGGAAAAGCTCACTGGAGGAGATATTTTTGGATGGTGTTTTCCAAGTGTTTTTACATAGCATTATTGGTACATGTAAAACTTTATAAAGGGCTTTCACATTCAATCATGTGGGTAGTTGACTATGCCTCAAATTCAGAAAGATGCCCAGAATGATACTTAGACTTCAGCCTAGATGTCTGACTGCAGAGAGATCCTGAGCCTTTCTGCCACAAAGGGCGTAACAAATCCTGTTTACTTAACTATATCTTGGGGTCAAGGAGGCAGACTTGATGATCTGAGTCAGTTAGAGCTGCTCTGTTCTTGGCTTCTCATTCATTCATCAAATATTTATTGAAAATATATTTACTGTGTGCCAGACACTGTGGCATATGCTGGTAATACGTACCATGATGAACAGATAAATATGGTCCCCAGCCTTGTGAAACTCACATTCTAGTGTAGGATATAGACAAGTGAGCAGACAACTAAAATATGGTGTAAACAGGAGAAGTTCAGAGGACAGTGGAATCCTATATAAATATTGCCTTACCCGTACCTGGAAGAAATTTCTAAAATATCCGCAGACTTGTACCTTGATTTCCTGGAGATAACTCTTGTGTGTCCTTCATCACGAGAGGCCAGGTAAATCACTGGAACCGGAGAGGGGCACACTCTTTTCCTTTGCTGGGAAGAGAGCAGAAAGTTCCCTCTCTGATTGGGAGTTGATAGTGTCATCTTCTTATTTCCAAAAGGCCAGGTAATGTCCTGGGAGGACAAAGGCATTCTATCTAGCATGATAGATGTGTCCAAGTCACCTGGAATGAACACTCTCTTGGGGAGGAAAAGGTTGTTCACAGAAACGGCCAAGGGAAGGGAGTCACCCTAGCAAAGCCGCAGAAACCAACCTTGTGATTTGTGTCGTCTCTGGGTATTTTAGATGCTGGGACTGCCACATTGCTGAAGAGTGTTTCTGCCTTCCCTGGTAAGTGGAGAATTGTTTTCAGGAGTTATTTCCCTAAGCTTGGTTCCAATATGGTATTTGCTGTAAGTTACCTGTGAACTCCCCTCTGTCTGTGGCCACAGTAGAAGCCTGTCACTAGCCCAGATATAAATCTGAGAGTCAGTCAGGGAAGTGACACTTCAAGTTTTAGTGGAAAACAGGAACAATAGTCTCAAGGGTAGTATTCATCCTCAAATAGAAAGCCTCAGAATCAAGAATGAAAGTGGCTACCAATGTAGAGAAAGATCCCTGTATCACACTGCAAATCTCGGAGTCTCCATGTACAAAAGCCCATATTTCTGTCCCTTGCATGGATAATTTATAGCCAGGGTGATCATATAATGTGTCATCCAAAGTGCGAAGCCTTTGAGAGTAAAAGGGATGCTAAAAATAGTTAAGGGTCACTTGATAATGACATTAACTAGACCATCTGAGCGAACAGGATATATGGTCAACCTCCTTAGAGCAGATTTTATTCTTGTCTCCTGAGATGATAATGGGCTTCCATTACATTTATATTGTGTATTTCTGGGGAGTCATCTATACAGTGTAGTTGCCTCTGTGCTCATGTGGGAGGTGTGTATGTGTGTTTGTTTCTTCATTTTCTTGCTTGTTTGGAGATCATAGATTGGAATTGGGGCTGGGATTGGATATAACAATGGCTCCTTAACTCACATGATATGAGAGAAATTGATATTTTGTCAGAAAAAAAATTTCCAAAGAAGTTACCTATAAATCACTGTAGTTCTCCACATCCAGAAATCCACTCCATATCAGCCTTAGAAAAAGGATAAGGAGGAGAAAGAGAGAGAGAGAAACACAAAAGAGTAGATTTCTAGTTGGTCTTACCCTTCATTTTTCCTTTTCTCTATCCTCTTATGTCTCTTTGCTGAAGGAGGTATTACAAAAGGCCCATAACTAACAATTGAAAGAGTTAAAAAGTTTTTATAGTTGGTGCCATTTTCTTTGAGAGTTTCTGAATATTGAAACAACTAATTTACTTTCCTTTTCTTTTACAGGAAAAAAATACACAATTTTAAAGCAGAGCAAGATTCCCAGAAGGAAAGTAAGTCATTGCTTTCCCATCATTTTCACTTTTGATAAACTTACATTTCCAAACCGCCCCTTCTCTGTGTTCCCAAAGCTCCTGGGGCTTATTTCCAGTCTAATATGTACACCTTGTGCTGCAATTTGTCCAATTGCATGTCTCTTTTCTCCACTAGACTGTGAGCTCCTCATAGCAGGACTTGGCTTATTGATCTTCCTATCTTTCAGTTAGTCCCTGAGGTCTGGGGGCTGAGGGAGTTAACTTGGAACAACAAATGCAAAATGTGTAAGTGGAGGCACGGAGAAGGAACTGAAGGAGGCCGGCGCAGGCACAGAGAGGGTAGAGGAGGGGCAGGGCCTTGTGGTCAAGGTTAGAATTGGGGTTTTTGTTTTGAGAGCGACAGGATGTACTGATGGGCTTTAAACAAGGAGCAGATATGACCACATTTGCATGGAAGACATCACCCAGGTTGCTGTGCAGAGAACAAATTGTAGCAGGGAGAGGCAGGAGCAGTTACTAGAAGACCACTCAGGAGGCTGATGCGATGGTCTCTGGTGACAGAATAGGACTGAAGTTAAGGAGAGAGAAGAATTCGAGAAGGAGAGGGGGGTGCATAGTATCACATGTAAGAGAGAATAGTAAAGTACAGGCCTGAGGACAGGCCACCCATTCCTAAAGAAGAAAAGCAAGACTTTCGCCTTTGCCCTTCTGGGCTTGAAGAGGACGGCCTAGTTCATTCCCTCTGGATCTTTTAAAGACTAGCCCTGTAAGTTGTGTAAATGAATAATACAGCCCTACCACCCCTAGCCATTTCACCCAGGAGAATTGTGGGTCCAAGGAAACCCCAATCTCCATCAGAGCAAAACAACGTAGAAATAAGACCTCGAATGCTGGAACTCATAGACTCTCTTCTCGTAGTGAGAATCAGGGAAGTCCTGTGATGGGTTGTAATTAGTATTTTGGTGGTGAACATGATGTAGTCCATGCAGAAATAGAAGTACAATGATGTACACCTGAAATTTTTACAATGTTATAAACCAATGTTACTGCAATAAACAAAAAATTTAAAAAAAAAAAAAAAAGGGAAGTCCTAGATGGCCTTGGGAATCTATGGAGATGTGACAATCTGGGATGTCGGTTCCGAGGGAAGACAATCCATAATATAATAAATAAGGTGGCCTGCATGGGCTCAGCCACCTCCTGTATAGGATGGCTTCCTGCAGCTTCCCTGTGAAACCCTGTGTTTGCTCATGCTGGTGTGTTGGCGAGGGGGTAGCACGTGCATCCATTTACCACTTTGCTGAGTGGCCAGAGCCAGCTAGTTTTAAGTAAATCGGCTTTTGAAAAACTGGTCTGCTTCTGTTTGTATCTGCCAACAGATGCAGGAACGGGAATGGTCAGCTTAAGAGTTTCCTTCTCTGTAAAGCTTTCCTTGAGTACCAGCCCCCACACAACCACTACCCTTGTCGCCTACAGTAGAAACGACAGCCATCTGCGTTGTGGGTCTCTCTCAGGCCCTGTCTGCCGCCTATGCTAGCCTGTGAGCCCCTTGAGGACAGGGACTGTTTCTGATTCTTCTTTGTCTCCCCAGTGCCTGGTACAGAGTAGGTATGCAAAGAACTTTTTGTAAGGAAGGAGAAAGGGGGGAGAGAGGGAGGGAAGGAAGCGTGGTTTCCTAACCAAAGACCACCAAATGTGTCTCCTTCCACTTGGCCTCGGCCTGAGCACAGCTCTGCTGTTCCTTGTTTAGGTGACCCAGTCATTCACTCCCCAGGGTTGTGTCCGTAGGTCAGGATAGCCTGATAAGGGCCACCTCAGCTGTTCCTTGGCTCTCTGGTTTCTTATATCCCAGTCGCCCCCTCCTCCCCTTCCCCTCCCTCCAATCCCTCCATGACCTGAAATTCATTGAGTCTATTTTCTTTCTCCAGATAAAGGAACAACATCCACTCCCATCCAGGTAATACAAACATCTCTGAGCCTTTTTTCAGATGTTGTAGAAATGCATACACCCCAGATGGCAGGAGAAGTTTGCCTCCAAGACCTCTTCTGACCTTAATATGAAAGAAAGACGCCAGTGCTTGTGAGCCCAGGGACCGCGTGCAGGGCCTGGTGGCAGAAGCAGCAGCCACCTCTGTTGTACAACTTATTGAAAAGAACTAATATTTATTGAGCACCTAGTCTATGCCAGGCAGTGTGCTGAGGGCTTTGCATGAATCATCTCATGTAACTGTTACATCAACCCTATAAGATTGGTACTCTTATTTCCCCCATTTTACAGATGAGAAAACTGAGAGATCAAGTGATATTCTCCCAAAGCCAGGCAGCTGACAAGATGGTAGGGGCATGATTCAGAACCAAGTCTCCCTCTCAGATCCATGCTCTTTCCCCTGTACTTTGCTGCTTCGTTTTTTATCTCCTGAGATTTCACTGAATGAGACCTTCTCTTGAGTGGTTTCCCTTTTTAATAATGCAGATATCTCTAGAATCTCTAGAATGGTTAAATATCATAACCCAATCACACTAAGGTGTCCTCAGATTGTTCTCTTATATAAGAAGGGCCCTGAGACTTTCGGAATTATACGGAGTGGTTGGGGGTCACTCTGGAACATTGGGCAAAGAGGACATACATGGGTAGGCTGAACACTCTGGCAGCATGAGCGCTCTGGCTGCCTGGGCTAGTGGTTGGGGTGGGAGCAGCCATTTAGGAAAGACAGCCAAGACATGGAGGGGAGGTGGCCGTGGAAGAGAAATTTTTGCCCAGGGTCGGGTCTTACACTTCAGCTGAGACTGAGGTGTAAAGGGAATGGCCAGGGGCCAAGTGTTGATGATGGCTCTCCTTCGACCAGCAGGACAATGCTGACCAGAACTCCTTGGAGGATCTGTGCTACACCCTCATCGATCACAGCGTCCCCAGGAGAAGGCCATCAGGGAACTCTGCTGAGGGGTGGTATGAGAATATATCCCCAGAGACCGAGAGACCTAGAGAGTCATTGAGAGGAACCGAGACTGAGTACTCACTGGTCCATGTGCCCTCCACCCCTAGACATGCACCTTCCCCAGAAGATGAATATGAACTCCTCGTGCCCAGAGTCTCCTCTCACTCCCTGCAACAGTCATGTCCACTTAGGCCCCCTTCTGAGACGCCATCTGCCCACTTATATTGAAGCGGTTGGACCAGCATTTGTTTAACACCGGCAAATAAAAGCTGGGGGTGGGGGCTCTGGTTAAAGCAGGCATGGGGCACAAGGCCTTTCTGGCTTACCTCCCCCTCACCTAACAGCCCCTTCTACAAGGGTCTCGGCAAAACATGGTTTGCAAACCACAAGGTTTGCAAACCACAAGGTATCCTGCTCAATACCCAACATCAAAAGATCAACCAACTATCCTAAACACCACTCTTTGAGAAGAGGGTGGCTGTTTTTGCTTCTAAGTGGCTTTGGAACTACTGCACTACTCAGTGGCAGGAGGGGGGCTCCCTGGTCCCCTATAGCAGTGCGTATCACAAAGGTCTCTGCTCCCCTTCTGGGTTCTTCTTATAAAATGCACACAATTGTCCTCTGAAGTCACAAGGAAGCTTTACTCATCATACTAAGTGTACCCAGGGGGAGTCCACTTGTTCCACATGTTTGTGGGCCCGACTCCTCACTTGTAGCCTTCTAGGTGGGTGCCTGTGCAATCCTCTCACTCCATGCCTCTAAATGGTGTCCTTGGCATAGTGTCCTTTGACTCATCGGCCCTCTTGGCTTGGTTGGTTACATGGGTTGAATCAGCAAGTTCCAGGCCAGGTTTTTATATAATTTTTAATATAATTTTAATCTATATTTTTAATCTTGTATTTCTCCCTATAAATCTTAATAATAAAATCATAGCATCAGAGACTGATAGAGTAGAAAGTCCTTTGGAGATCCTCTAACCCCACTATCCTTTTTTGGCTCAGAGAGGATAATTAGCCCAACATAACACTGCAGGTTAGTGGCAGAACTTTATCCAGAGCCTGATTTCCTGGCTTCCAGTTCAGTGCTCTTCCAACATACTAAATAGACAAGCCTCTGCTGTATGGCATGTGTGTGTATTAAATAATATGTCATGTATATATATAAAATATGAATAAAATGTCCACATTGGAAAAATGACACACTCCTTCTCTAATGAGCATTTCTCTGGATGCCCTGATTATTTTTTTTTCCTTCATCTTTTCTTCACTTTTCCTAAAATTATATCTATCCCCTAAAACGGGGATCAGCAAACTATAGCCCACAGGCCAAATCTGACCCTCTGCTTGTTTTTATAAATGAAATGTTATTGGAACACAGCCAAGCTCACTTGTTTACAGACTCTCTTGCTGTTCAACCACAGGAGAGTTGAGTGGTTGTAATGCACATTATAGGTCCTACAAAGACAAAAATATTTATTTTGGGGCCCTTTTCAGAAAAAAAGTTTGTAGACCCCCAGCCTACACAATCATACTTGGAGATAAACTTAACAGAAATGTGTTTGGGTATTGATGTAACTCATAGGAGCTGGTACCAATAAAATGGTATGAAAATATTAAACCACAAATTAGATGAGACCAAGAATGATTAGCAAATTAGACTATTTCTACATTCACACCTGCGTTCTCAACTTCCTGTTTTCTTTAACCCATGGCCATCGTCTTAATTTTAGGGATGTTAAAATAGTAAGAGGTTTGTTGACAAGCAGTAGATGTATTATGTGTTTACTTACTGTTTTGTTCCCCAAACTAACCAAAGTTATATAACTTTGCTACTTAAAATGTGCTAAGTGCCCACTGAGGATAAATCCAGTGACTTGAGGTTGGGTGCGTCAACACAGGTTTGCTGAGACTTCAGCCAGTTGCTGGTCTTCAACCAGAGAGCCAATCACACCTCAGTATCCTGTCCTCTGCCAACTTCTTATTTTTAGCCAAATTCTTTCACAAGGAACCCTAACTGTGACCTTTGGCCAGGATTCACTTCGGGAAAGAGTGTGACACCAGAGTCAGATGATCAATGATTCAAATCCTGGTTGCGTCTCGAGGCTCTGTGACCTTTGAGCATGTAACTTAGAGGCTCAGCTTTTTCACCCAGGAACGGGAGGATTACATCTAATGTATGTAAATCATCCATCACAGACCCTGAATAAATGATGTCAAAGAGCAAAAGGAAACAGAAATCTCTGTGATGTATGGAGAAACACATGTGCTGCTGTGCCTGGCATGCCGGGGTCACCCAGCAGTCTTCCAACAAGGCAGAAACACAGAATCACTGGGTGCTAGGCTGGAATTGTCCACTCAGACATTGGCCCATTGTGGAAATTGGTTGGTTTAAATACTCTTAGTGCAACCTGGCAAGTTATACTTGTCTGAGTCTTATCCTGTGAAAGTATTGCCTGTCCCAAATAGTATATGCCTTTTAGCAGGAACATATTAAGTATAAATGTTTAACCAAAGAAAGTTGTTCATATAATGAAATGTAAAGGGATTATGAAAGGGAATTATTTTTGAGCAGGAGAGGCTTTTGAGAGTGCTTTGAACTACCCAATGTGTCTGTATATAATGCTGATCCTGTTCTCCATAGATTTCAGGATTTCTGATGAAAGCTGTGCACCCTCTTCACAGAAAACGTACATTCACACACACACACACAACATTTCCTTGCAATTTCAAGGGGTTGGGAGTGCAGCCCTTCAGTTAAAGAATTCCTGTTCTTGATAAAGAAACTGAGGCTGAGGATATAAATTGCTCTCTCAAGCCACAAGTATAACCAGAAAACCCCCCGTTCCCATGCGGGTCATAAACCTGTAGGTAGCCAAAGTTCACAGAGGCACACATTTTACACCAACTGCAGGCTCTGTGGTTTCCGTTTTATATTCACACCAGTACATGCATCTATAAATAACCCCTTAGTCTCTGAATAAATTCTCATCTAGAATAGAAGAGAGGTACAAGAGAAGGGCAAAGATAGGTCAGGAAAATCTACCATTGACAACAAATAAATTCAAATGCTGACATTTTTAGGACAATCTTGGGTGACAGGTGCTTCCAATGTTCTCAGGGATGGAAGGGCATAGGCAGAGCAGGAGAGATGAGTCCCCAGGACTCCGCAGGAGCCTTCAGAGAAAGGGGATTCTGTCTACATTTATCTGACTCTGTTCTTTTCCAAGCCAGCCTCTTGTATTCAGAAAGCAACTTGAAAGCCACTTGATCTGAGCGTACCTCAGTTCTGCCAACTGTTAAATGGATCAGTCTAAGTGCCTCCCACTTTCCTATGGCAGGTTCTTTTGCAAGGCACTCGGGAAGCACTGAGCAGTCATTATCATCCCAGAGAGTCTTCTAGGTCTGATGATCACACTTCTCAACTCATCCCTTCCCCCTCACCACTTGTGCTCCTTGTGGATTCCCAGATATCAGCCAAACCTGAATTGAGCATGACCTTGGGGTGCCCATCAGGGTTGGAGTCCATTGACGGTGAGTGGTTGCTCAGTGGGCTGAGCTTTGCTCCCCGAAACTGTGGAACTCTGAACTTGTTCTTCCACCTCTCTGGACCTTGGTTTCCTAACTACAAGATGAGGGACTACCTTCTGATGCTAAGAGTATCTGAGCTCTAATCATGAAGGAAAGATTAAAGGATGTCTGTGGATACAGCTGCCAGCTATGCAGTAATAGTGTGAATTAACTTCTTTTAAAGCAATGTAACAGCAACGTGAGCAGAGAAGGGAAGACTTAGATTTCTCCCATTTTTCTCAGCACTGATCAGACTCTGCATAGGGCAGGAGTCTATGTCCAGAGTCCACATCTAAGGAAAGGTGAGACCATGCACCTCATCCCAATAAGACACAAACGTGTATAGAGGAGGACAAATCTGCTTATCCAAATCCCACCACTGCTTCTGGGTTCAGCTTGAGTCCTGTTTCCTAGGCAAAGCCTTCTCCAAGTAAATGGTACTGACCACTCTTTTCTCTGACCACCCACAACCCTAGAGTTTGTCTTTATTTATTTTTAACACCTGGCCATTTTTTTCTGTTGCTTCCTGTTTTGTCTATGCAGAGCCTGACTCCCCAATAAGACTAGCGGCTACTTTTTTTTATTATTGTCTTCTTCTTCACTGGTATCTCCTATTGCCTCTGCAAAACACATGATTAATAATCTACAGGGGCCAGCCCTGTGGCATAGTGGTTAAGTTTGGTGCATTCTCCTTTGGCAGCCCGGGTTCGCGGAACCTACACCACTGGTCAGTCATGCTCTGGCGGCGATCCACATATAAAGTAGAGGAAGATTGGCACAGACGTTAGCTCAGGCCTAATCTTCCTCAGCAAAAAAGAAGAAGAAGAAGAAGAAAATCTACAGAACTAAGTTAAAAGGCAAAAAAGAATTGGACGTGTGGATAGAATTTTTGTTGAGGATGGGGGTGGGTTCCACTGCTCCAGCTGTCTTCTTTCTGTCCATTTCTAACTGACTTCTAGAAAAGATCACTTTATCTTCTCAAATCCTTCAAGTATTTCACAGATATTTGTTGAAATCTGATTATGCTCCAGGCGTTACACTCGTCATTAAGATGTTTAATGACCTATAAATTCATCTCCTACAGCAGAACAGTGTATACATAAGTGCCAATTTTTCCAAACACCTCAAAATGTTTTAGGCACAAAGTTCAGTCCTTTCCACACCACTTGAGCTGAAGAGTCAAACCTATGGAAAATCCTCTCTATAACCCGCAAGTGGTCAAAACCCAAGACAAGGTGGGTACCTCTTGATGCTTTCCACAGGAGAAGGAAAGATCAAGACGAAACTCTGTCTTGTCTCCAGACATGAACTGCCCCTTCCTACTAGCCCCATGCCCTTCAGACACCTGGTCCTGCCTGGGAGGAAGTGGACGGGACAGAAGGCCCCTCCCTGTTCTTGGGAACACACAGGATGACCCAGCCTACCCAGCTCAATCTTAATCACTCAGAACGGGAAGTTGCTCTGAGGGAAATGAAAAGATCACTTCTAACTCTATTTACTGCAAGAAAATACCAGCCCAAATCATGACCCTGGAGAGTCAACACCTATGAAGCAAAAGTGAATGTGACAATGCAGATGCAAAAATAATTTATTGTAAATATTTTTAAATCCTTCTCCATGGAAGTTCATTATTTTATCAAAAGTACAAACACACTAAAGTTTACGTTTGACATGTAAAATTAAAGAGGAAGAAGGGAAATTCACCTATTTCGCTAGTTTGAGGAACTGTCTTTAAAATGAGACACTGAGTTACAGTAAATGCATCTTTTAGTTAAATAAGAAAGGAAATTCACATTATCCAGAGTTCTGGGTCATAAAGTGCTCAAGGCAAACCTAGCCTGAGACACACACTCGGCTGCATCCTCATACACAGCGCCCCTCACACTGACTTCCACCCAAGGCCAATTCAACTGAGATATTGGGGCCAAGGATCTCTCAGAAAAGGACCACAAAACTGTTTCTCCTGGAAAATTTCCAGCAAAACAATTTTCCCAATAAAACAAATATTCATCTCCCTCATGACAGGCAATTCTATATCCATAGACAACCAATACAGTCGCTAATATTCCCTGCGCCCTGCAAATGAAGTGGCGTTAAGCATCCAACAGTTTATTTCAGAGAGTGGTGCTTCCTGTTGCACAGTCACCTTCGAACAGATACACAATCAACTTCTGAAGACTCTGAGTCCCACAGGAAGGCTAGTAACTCTGGACGATAAAAACTCGAGGTGTAAAATCGACAGCAGATAGGAAGCAGTCTCCGGGACTCACTGACCGAAGTTAGTGAAAATATAAACGGGGAAACTCTCGAAAATGATGACAGTGTATTGAGAACTCACAGGGACCCAGGTTTCCAGAAGAGGTGTGTGTTCAGGAGTCACAGGAATGATAAGAAAATGCAAAATAATTAAAGAAACACACATCTCATTTCTGCAGCTATATATGATACAGTAACATTGGACGATGTGCAAAGGCTGGTTGCTGCGACACCTACAGGTCAAGGGAGTAGACACAGCACTAGGCTGCTTAGGTCGTGAAAGTGCCTTCCTTGTCCTCACAGCCTTGCTCAGAGGCAGATAAATACAATGGCGGGAGGGCTGTGGGGGTTTCAGCGAGCAATTGGCTCAATTTTCCTCACCGAGCTGCCTGCCTCTCCTCGTTCTCCTCTCTCCACCCGGACAGGTTAGGAGCCTGCGCGCAAGGCCACCCTCGCGCTAAAGAGCAAGTGTCCACCTGTCGGTGGAGGCAGCTAGTGCTTCCAGAACAGCAGTGACCTCACACTGCAAGGTCCGCCCACCCAGCCCGTCACGTCCCCCTGCCCCATCTGGCTTCCTGCCTTTGTCAGGATGGGGCCCGGCTCGCTCGGGTGCTGTTAACTGCAGAAACAGGACCATCTCCACCCCTCTGGTCATTGCGAATCCTACGTTAATTCACCGGATCTTTTCCATAAAACAGAATGAATACTCTGCATCTCAAAATTCAGTGGAGCACTGCTTTCAGACACAGACCAACCTCCACCACTCCATTCTGAAAAGAAAAACACAAATAAAAGTCATTAATTTTTTAAAATCATGATTATTTTAAACATTTAGTTTTTTATTTTATTTCTTTGGGTTTTAATATAAACTCGTATGTAAAACTGGAATGTTTGTAAATTCCTAACAGAAGAAGTTTATTCTTCAGTCAAGACACACACAGACACAAACACAACTCTGAATACTTTGCAAAAGGCAAATAACATTGTTTGCTCATTTGTTTTGGTATAATTCATGAATAAATAACACTTCCATGAGGACTTTTGGATGCTGAGGGCATTTTAACATTCAGTCCTTTTTCATGATCTAACCGTAAGACTACCTCTCAATTTTCAGTTTCTTAAAACATGCGCAATATATCGTGAGAATTGTGACAAGGGAAATGGTGCGGACCTGGCCTGACTGAGGGGGAGGTGACCGTGCAAGGACCTGGGGACATTACACGGAGAGCCTATAGGCTCCACAGCAGGGTTCTCATGGTTGATGTTTGGGACATTCCCTGTTGCAGGGAGCTGTCTTGTGCATTGTAGGATGTTTAGAAGAATTCCTGGCCTATATCCACTAGATGCCAGCATCCCACATCCACTCCCAGCTGTGACAACTAAAAACGTCTCCAGACTTTGCCAAATACCCCTGGCGGGGTTGGGCAAAACTGTCCCCCCATTGAGAACTAGTGCTCTTTGGCTAAACTCTCCACATTTCCCGGAGAATGTATAAACAAAACCGAAATCATTTTCCTCGATTCCCCAGGCAGTTCTTTCAAGGACTGAAGGCACACACTGGCCTCTGTCAGCAACCAGCTCAACAACTGACTGCAAAAATGTGCAAACAAGGTTCACTGTTCTCACTGCCTGGAGCTGTTTCCTCTTCTCGCTTACAGAAATCCAGTTTTTGCCTTTGTTCCTCACTCGGTCTACCAGCTGACTCCTTCGCATGTGAGAAAACAGTACAAAATAACTAAGGCACGTCCAGAATAACTCAGGCTGCTCTTTTACAGTTCTAAAACAGACTTCCCCACCTTCCCCTCGGGCCCCATCCAGCCACAAAGTGAAGAAGCGCAAAGATACAGGGATGGGCTGGGGGAAGGATGTGATCCATTAAAAAAATTCCCTTAACCTTGAGGGCATTATGCTAAGCGAAATAAGTCAGACAGAGGAAGACAAATACTGTATGATCTCACTTATACGTGGAATCTAAAAAAAAAAATCAAACTCATAGAAAAAGAGATAAATTTGTGGTTGTCAGAGGTGGGGGGTGGGGGATGGAGGAATTGGATGAAGGTAGTCAAAAGGTACAGACTTCCAGTTATAAGTCCTGGGGACGTAATGTACAGCACGATGACTATAGTTAAGGCGGTACGGTACATTTGAAAGTTGCTAAAACAGTAGATCCTAAAAGTTCTCATCACAGGGGAAAAAAACGCGTTAACTATATAAGGTAATGGATGTTAACTAAACTTACTGTGGTAATCATTTCACAATGTTTGTGTGTCAAGTCATTTTGCTGTACACCTTAAATTTACACAGTGTTATATGTCAATTATATTTCAATAAAACTGGAAGAAAAAATAAAAGTAAAAAAATTTCCTTATGATTATAATATTAAGGAATGTTTTTCTTTTTATAGGGCATCGAAATATGCCTGCAGCTAGGTCAAATAGTAGCTGTCTTTCCAAATTAAAGAACGAGAAATACATAAACACAAAATAGCTCAGGAATCCAAATTACAATCTAATTTCAAGTTCTGGCTCTAAAGTACACACATATGAACCCCAAAGGAACCAGACTAGCCTCAGGGAATCCTCAGAATCCCGGAAATTGCAAAATTTTGTGTAGGAGGAGGAGCATATGCATTTTTTTCTGGAAAGAAAGTACATGATTATCTTCAAATTCTCTAAGGGGCATACAAACCAAACAATGTTGAGAATCTTAGCTCTTTGAAGAATTGAACATTGTCTCTGGGGGAAACTAGTTTCCCAGCTCATCACAGTGGGGTGGGGTAACCCTCCAGACCTGCAGTGCATGTGAACATGGGAAACTGGCCTGAGGATCCGCTGGGTCTCACTCCATCCCTCCCAGGGCCCTCTGCCTAACCCGGCCACGTCCATCTCCTCCCTTTCTACAGCGTTTGCCTGAGTGTGCCCTCCCGTGGCCCGCCTCCTCCTCCGTGTCTCTCTTCTTCCTTCCTCACTGCCCACAAGGTCACTATCTACCCTTCCATCTGAGACGGGGCTCATACTCACACTCCTGAAAATACCAAATGGCTCAAATACTGCACACATGCTCTGGAAAGTGGATGTGGGGTCATAGAAACCCCCCCTGCCCGGGGCGGAAATGTCTGAGAGAGAGTACAGGCTCCTGAGGAGCAGACACCGTTTAGCTCACGGCTGCGTCCCGGGACCTGCCGCAGAGCCTAGCCCTGAGGAAATGTCTCCAATGCTGTTTGGCTGAGCTCAAGGTCTTCCCCACTCTCCTCAGGCCTCACAAGCAACCTACGCTTCCTGTACTCTGTACGGCCCTCCCAACCTCCTGATCATCTTGAATCTTTTCCTCCTCTACCTCAATATAGGTTCCCTATATTGAGACAATCTTTCAATGATTTAGCTACTTCGTTTATTTCAAATTCTTCAACACTTTCTTCTCTTGTGAAACCAGTGTTTTTGGGAAAGTTACTAATGATACTGTGAAGAGGGATATGGGGCTTCGCATGTGGGTGAACTACAAGGAGGAAACTTTGAGCTCTCCTCATCTTTATGGCTTAATTATGTTTTTCATGATTTTTCTCCCAACTCCTCCGTCGGCTCATGGAAGGTGGGGACAGTGTAACCTCCACAGAGCAGCGAGCATCACCCACACAGAAGTCGCCCCAAGCCCCCGTCCCCAGCCTGGCTCACCGGTTCCCGTCACAACTCTGCCTTCTTGACTTGCTTGACTTACCGTAGAACAAGAGGGACGCTGGATCAAGCCCCAGAGTCTCACAACCAGACACGTGCTGATCGTGGAAATCCTGCAGCAAAACGCCCCGCAGCAGCTCCTCGCACATCATATACTTCATGAAACCGTCATCTTCCGATGGAACCCCAAACTGCAGGTGGTAGGTTATCGTGGCATTTTCACGGCTGAAAGTCAAACCCAACAGAGACAGCAAACGTAACAACAGAATCACACTGCAACTCAGGAAACTGATTTTAGCAATAATATTTTTTTGCTCTGCATGTTCTTCCAAATGCAAAATAGCAAAGCGTGTACTGTCCTAGAAGAACCCTCTTCCACAGGTCCATCATGAAAGGCCAGGAGAGCCTAACCTCCTCCTTCCACCTAAAACCCATCCCCCGGAGTCCACTGGGAGAGGCCACCGAAGGGAGAGACATGACCCAGCTGTTGTCAAGGATGATCCGAGGGCTGGCACACCATCTCCCCCAACATCGGCCTTTTACCCCTAAGGCAGGCCAGGCAAGCTGGTTGTCTTCATGTATTCCCTTCTCCATGTTCTCACACTGTACCTTCTCCCTGCCCCCACAAGCTGGTGTCAGAGCTATTTGGTTTAGCCAGTTCATTATTTAACCTACAAAATGTTTAAGGCGGGGTCCAAAGCTCCCTGCCATTGGCCGGGTGCAGAACTGCTGAACTCCTGCAGGCTGCCTGTGTACAGCATATCATGCGTCCCCAGTTTGTCCCCAAAGTGAGAAACTTTTTCTGCTCCATTTCCACTCCCGAGGCTCCCAGCTTTGCAACTCTCAGGAAAGGGACCTAAGGAAAGGGAGTTCTCATCTTCCTAGAACATATTTCTCCAATTTCCAAAATAAAAATAATCATAGGGCTAACCTCAGCTAATTAGTAGCTTATACCGCTTGTTAAATGCTACCTCAACATTTAGCTTTTTCACAGTTATCCTATTACTTTGGTTCAAGAAGGTCTAGATTAAGAGCCAGCAATAAAAGAATGAAGAGGTGGCCACATCTGAGACTCTCAGCCTGGGACAAGTTTTATAGACAGGCCAGTCCAGAAGCCTGAATCAGAACTCTGTTCCTGCTAAGGACAGGCAAAGAGCTCCTTCTTGTGGCCAGAAGTCACATAGGCCAATACTCTTACATTGATGTGGCTGACAATTCAGTGTATAAACTCGACCACAGCCAAGAAGTGTGCCAAACCTTGTAGTTCAAATGAATAATATAGTGTCAGCACTCTGGAGAAACTCACAGTTTCAAGGATGCCACTACAGGCAGGCTGAAAAATGCACTTTCAAACCCTAGGCCAGCTACTCTGGTTTGCAAGTGACATTACTTTTTGCCTGTGCTCCACCTTCTAATTATCAGCAATGATGGCAACATCTTGACAAACAGCCACCCTGTACTCCTATGTCCAACCCTATGGACTAGGGTTGACTTATGGAAAGGACGAGAGGCTGACTTTCAGAAGACCAGGCCGGAGGCTGAATAAGAGCACTGTGCTGCCTGACCCGGCCTGGCTAGCCCATCCTCGTCCCACCAAGTCAGGTCACTGGATGAATTCACATAAGGCTGAATCTGGAGGGGAGGAGAGGGATTTTCAGGGCAGCAGAGAACCCTGTGGGCTTTGCCCCAACTGCCCACCACTAGAGTGGGTCCAGCAACTGATGAACCAATGGGCATTTTCCCAGGCTCCTGTTGGGCCGGTCCAGGACTAACGTCAGGATCCCTCTATAGACGCAAACGCATCTGCCAGGGATTTGGCTGTCTCCTGCCCATGTGCAGCAACAAATCCTTGGGTTTTTCTTTCAAGCAACTTTTAAAAACAGATTCTCTAACGTTAAGTCTTCGGGTTTCTAGCCATTTTTTACTCAGTTTTCTGATGGGTGTATCCCAATGTCTACCCCAACCCATTATGCAATCCCACCCCCTCTAGACCCATAATATGGGCCTGGATTCTTGGAAAGACCCTTTGGGCTCTGAGCACCTTTCCTCTCTCAACTCTGTCTCAATCCTTGGGTTGCAAGTTGGGGCCAGTGCATGGAGGAAAACGTGTTAGGTCTGATTATGAACTTCTCCATTTAAATTTCACTGGCATTTTAATACCAGTGGTTTATAATTAAAATGAGCAATGTCAAAGGTGTCACCATAAAGTAACACACACATTGGAGATCCATAAAGAAGAAGGACTAGAGTTGTTGCCAAGGCAACCTGCCACCATACGCATTGTCAGACTTCAGGTCCATTGTGCCCCTGCCTCGTTGTGCTACCACCTGCTCTACATGCTTCCCCTCCCAGGTCTATTCATATCATGGTTTGAGAAATGTATGGTTTGAGAGGGGAACCTTGATGTAATATTGCCTTTGATGGTCACATTCCAGGAATTCTTGGAACAGTGGATAATAAAGCTTTGCCATGCAAATCTTGTCCTAATGATACAAAAGGATAATCAAATAACTCCTCTACACACACACACCCTTTTATCTAAGTGTCTATAGACATACACAAAAACATTAAAGATTAGGAGGAAATTCAAAAAGAAAAATATATATGTGTGTATATATGCTATACGTATATAGTATATAAAGTATATATGGTAAATACTTGTATAGAAGAAATCACACCAAACTGTATGATGGTTGTTCATTTTGTAGAAGGAAGTGGAATTCACTCTGTGTCTCGAATTGATTGGCACATGCAGTGTCCAGGTGTAGTGGGCAGGGGTGGGGGCAGAAGGTAGACTTTCCCTGCAGTAGATATCTTTATATTTGTAATATTATTCAAAGAGCATGGACTCCTGTATTACTTGCATTCTTCAAAAGCACAAGCCAATACATGGACTATATTATTTATATCACACCACTATCTGAGATCTATTTCTATTTCTACCCTTAGCTTATTTGGGATCCACTATTAAACAGGACTGTTGTACGTGGCGCTGGTCTTTCCTCTCTTCCCTGGGAACTGGCTGAGTCATATAATTAATCTGGGCTTCATGTCTCTCTTTTGTAAAATAATAAGAGTTGAGCTAGTTGGTCTCCAAAGACCTTCCCAGTGCCGACACTATGATTCACTATCTGTGACACTATCTGTCATTGGTTCCCTTCAAGCTTTGAGACTCATGGAGTCCTTCTAGGTGAATGGTGACAGGTGTCACTTTCCAGAGAAACAGGCCAACACAGAATCCTCCACATTCTTACCTGCAGTCAACTATTTCCACCGAAGTAAAATAACGACTCAGAGATGGGGATGAACTGTACACGTCTGTGAGCTGAAATAAACAAGAACAAATAAAACCAACACACATATTACTGCCAGATCGTATTGCATATCCCCTGACAAAGCAGAACTGCTCCTACAAAGGAGATCCCACTCCAGCTGGGAATTAACTTATCCAGAGGCTCTGGATCAAGAAATAAGAAGGAGTGGGCCTTCCACCAACCAAAACTCAAGTCACACTCAGTAAAGAACCTCATTTATAAGGATCAAGTGATCAGGCTAGGATTTTCAACATCTCTTATATGTAGCACTGACACCTTGTGGCCTTAATGGTGAGAGTGTCAGCAGCCCGAGCCCAAACAGACCCCAAGGATCACAGGAAGGAGAGAACACCCAGCGGCTGGGAAGACTGCAGAACAAGGCCTGCACGCCACTGGACAAGGGCTTCTCTCTGTTCTCTAGGCTTCACTGTCAAGAGAAATAGCCGTGCTAAGCCACAGGAATAGCACTTTCCCCTGGATGGTGGGACCAAGTGGGGCTGGTCGACAATTGCAAAGACATGGAGTCCTTCTTTTATGCATGAAATGTTGCAATCATAAAAAATAATGACACTTGTCTTCCCACTACCTAGGTTTCATGTCTTCACATTTTACCATGTTGAGTTCAGCCCTTTAAGAAACAAAACAAAGCTAAAGCCACTCCTAGACACTATTCCGTTTTTCCTCCCCCTCCCTTGGTACTAACCATTGTCCTGAAGTTGGCAGGTATCCTTCTCATGCGTGTTTTTATAAATGTAATACTTCCTTGTATAATCATAACAATACATAATTTAATTTGTGTTTTTATTCAAATAAAAGGTACTATATTCTACATAATCTACTAAGGCTTGTTTTTTTTCACTAAAAATCTTGTTTGAGATTTACCTGTAATGGTCCATCCAGACTGAGGTCATTCAGCCTAACTCCTAACTCCTGCATAGATTTCGTTCAGTGATTGCACCGACTTATCCATTCCCCTACTGACGGTCATGCGTGTCGCCTCCAGTTTTTTCCTATTACAAACTATGCTGAAGTTATCATCCTTGATGATCTCTGCGCCTCTCTTCTTGTGCATGTAAGAGTTTCCCTCGGGCATACACCAAACAATGGACTTGCTGGGTCCAAGAGTAGGTGCATCTCCAACTTAACTAAATCTTGCCTAATTGCTCTCCATTTTACTCTCCTCCCAGCAATGTATACGTGTCTGTTTCCCACAGCCTTGCCAGCAGTTAGAGTTACCAGATTTTTAGATTTTTGCCAATCTGAGGGGTATAACCGTGTTTTACGTTGTTTTAATTTGCATTGTCTTGCTTACTAGTGAGGTTGAGTATCGTTTCATATGCTTATTAACTCTTTAGGATTTCTCACCTTTGGATTGCCTTTTGGTTTCCTGTCTTTCTCTTGGGTTGTCTTTTTCTTACCTATCTGAAGTGATTGGTGTTATATTCTGGATACTAGCTGTTGGTTTTAGGTTACAAATGTATTCTCCCAGACTTTGATTAGTCTTTCATCACGTTTCAGAGATGTGAATCCTAACCAAGCAGTACTAAAGAACACATGGCTGAACGTATTTATGTTGCATTTCTTTTAAATTTACATTTGCAGGTTAAACGCCTTGTTCTTTAGCAGATAGGTTCTAGCATAAAGCAGGAGGACTGCGCTGGGATCTGGTCCAGCATGGACACAGGTCTGGGGCTGGAGCAAGCCCATGGCCAGGCCTCTGAGAGCCCAGCCAGACCCACTCCTGCCCAGCCTGAAGCCTCAGCCCTGACGTTGTTCTGGAAACCTCACCGTATCCAAAGGCACCCTTGTGCTGAGACCAGTGTGCCCAGCTGCACCCATTGTGGCTCAGTGCCCCATTACTGTATCCAGAAGCAAGCAGCAGCACACACCCAAAACAGCAGTGCCCCAAGGGGAGCTCTGCCCACCGTGTCTCCCACCCAATTCCAAACAGAATCTCAAGGAGGCTGCATTTCCACAACACACTCCCACTTAATTCACGTGGTCACAACTCAGCCTCTCAAAGGTAGAGCCCAGAGGACGAGAGCACCTACAGTTTGTACTCCTCGAATCTTGTCATTATTGCTGAGATCTTTACAGGAACCTAACATCAGAGGCATTACTCTCTCTCTCCTTTTTACTGATAAAGAAAAAGGCATTCAGAAAGGCTAGGAAACCCGCCCAAGGTCACTCAGCTGGAACGGCATTCAATCTGAGGTGTTACAGACACTGCAGCCCAGCCTCTTCACACTTTCCCCCACTACCCAGTGAGGACGAAGCCAGGAAGGAAAGTGCTTCCTTCTGAATATCAAGGAGGAAAGAAGCATAAAGTGATAAGAACTTTGGGAAAAAACTGAGTCATCTTACTGTTTTTTTTGAGCCCTAGAGAAAAGAATGTTGCCAATATGCCAACAGTCACTTGGAAAATTCAGGAAGTAGGAAAGGCCTTCACAGCACTGCTCAGAACGACAGGGAAGAGGAGGAGGAGGAGGCTATAGATGGGATCTTTTCTCCAAGCACAAAAAATAATAATAATAATGTTTCTCTCTTCCATAGAGCTTCTTATGGAAGGGATTATCTCTGTCCTTCCTTCCAACCTTCTGTTCCCTCCCTCCCTTTTTTCCTCTTAATCCTTAGGGCCTACCACTGTGTTTTGCACAAAGTACGCTCTCAAAAAAAATTCAAGTTAAAATTTTAACTTAAGAGATGGAGTGGTATACAAGATCACTTTTAGTGTCCACTCTAAGATTCTTTTTGGTGGCATGGTCCCCTGCTGTAATTAGGACATATTTACATATTTGGGAGCTGTTAATCACACTATCTACTTTAAACCCAAAAAAGTAAAATAGGGGGGGCTCCTCACCCCTGCTCTGGTGTCTCCCCACTGTGCCTATGAGGTTGGGTACAAACTGAGCTATGATCCCAGGCTGATTCCCAGAGTCAAGCACAGTGCGAATTAGAAAGCAGCTTCCAGAGTGAGAGGGCCAGCTTCCCTGCATTATCAGAGGGGCCCTCGTGAGCTCCCACTCAAGCAGGTGGGCTGAGGTATTACACCACCTGGCTCAATGGCTCCAACCCTAATAGAAGAAAACTCTGCAGTGAGATATGAGAGGGACTAGGACACTGTTCAGAAAAACCAGACAAGAAAGTAAGAGAGGGCAGTGTCCCATATCCACTCCCATTTACCTTCCATACCCAGAAACTTCTGGAAACTGGCCTAGGTGCAAGAAAGGGGTTCTTGACCTGACAATAAGACAGTAATAGCTCTAAGTGCCTCATTTTTGTTCCTGAACACATTTGGTTGAGAAGCCAGAGGGCAAGAGTCTTTTCACTTCCCTGTGTCTTACTTTTGTCATCTCTAAATCAGATAATTCTTTTAAAATAATGTTTTACACAGTACTTTATATGTATCTCATATGCACCTGTGAGGTATGCAGGGCAAGCGTGGTGCTTTCCACTTCTCAGAGAAGCAACCAGCTTGAAGAGGCCCCAGGAGTCACGGCCAGTCCCTGTTCCTTCGCCACTGCACAGTGACAAGCTAAACACACCTGTGGGATCTGCCCCTCTTCTGCTCTGTGCAAGAGCTAAGGCTGGAGGTGAATGATTAACACCTGTCTCCCTTGGACACGGAGAGTCCAGTCTGTAACAGCTCACCCACGTGGATGCTGACTCATTTCATTTCTGCTCGGCAAATGCAAACCCCTCAACTGAAAAAGCAACCAAGAGAGGTAGCCAGAGGCTTTTCACTCAGCCACTTGCTCTGGAAGCAGGTAGAAAGAAAGGAGGAAAAGAGAACTGCAGATAAAATATAAACAAGGAAAAGAAGGAAGAACAGAGCCTGGAATAATCATCCCAGAGAACAAACTTCTGTGATCAAAGGAGCCAGAAATGTCATGCACTTAGGGACCCAGAAACTGACCCGGGGGTGACCTAGATGGAATCATCTCCTTCAGGAGCTTTTGGAGGAATCAAATGGAAGCCAAATAAAGAGGACTCACCCCCTTCAACCTATCAGCTGCAGAGAAGAGTAGAATGGACGGCAGGCTGGTCTTGCTCAGATTTTCTTATCAAAAGTCTTCTGCCTGTGAACCACCCTGTCTTGGACAGGATGATCAGGACTGCCGCAACCAACCCTCACGGTCTGGCTACAGAGACTTTACATTGCACAGAGAACATTCTCCTGCATTTCCCACCCCATGAATGATGTCACCACCCACCCACGAGGCCACCCAACCAGGAGCCTGGAGTCACGCTCTCCCTCACCCCTACATCCACCCAGCCATGAAGTCCTGTTGAGGGAGAAGACCTCTTAAATCTCTTGACTCTTCCTTATTCCCCCTGATGCTGCCCCAGTTCAAGGCCCCCTCACCCAGGCTACTATAATACCCTCTAACTAAGCACTCTGCCTCCAGTATTTTTCCACCATCACACAGAAAGGCTAAAATGAAAAGCTGACTCTGTCAACCTGCATATTAAAACCTTTCGGTGCCTTACCAAAAAACAGGGAAACCTTCCTGATCTGACCCCTCCCTTCCCTTCCCGTTCAGCCTCACCTCCGCAAGTTCCCACCACTCAGCGTGCTGAGGCCACACACTGCGAGCAGATCCCCTACTGTTCTCTGCTCTTTTATCTAGAACACTCCTACCTTAGATTTCAAGACTTATCCTGAGTATCACCTCCTCAAGCAGACCCTCCAAGCCTCCATCTGCATCTTAGATTGTTTCGATGCCCCTCCTCTGTGGCTGTAAAACACACTGTATGCATCTCAATGACGGAGCATATCACACGGGTTTATAACTATCTATTTAATTGCTTCCTCTGCTTGGACAGTGAGCCTCCATTGAGGGCACAGACTTTGTGGCCCTGGCACCCAGCACGTTATCTAGCACATCCTAGACCCTCAATGAAGCTACAGGGTGAATCAAATAGAAGACCAGAGAGAGGGAACAGAACACTGTCCTCCAGGAATCAGGCAGCTGGAGGCCAGGGCTCTTCCCTCTGGCTTTCCACTACAGAAAACACATTTCTAAGCATCCGTTTCTGCCAAAATCCACACAGAATCCAAGCTTGAAGCTACTTACTCCATTGCCCTATGCCAACTGTCCTGGCAGAATTCATATTCCAATGTTAAGAACTCAGTAAACAACGTGTAAGGTATCATTACCCTTTTCGTGAGCAAATGAGGCAATTCCTCTTCAGTAACACAGTCCTCTGGAATCTTTAGCATGACCAAGAATGTTTTATTTGATGATAATTCAAGTATTTCATTTTCATCTTCATCGATGTAAGTTACTACAGAGAATGAGGGGGAAAATAGAAAGCAAAAGTAAAGTAAATGCATACATAAAACAATAAACATTTATTCCATTGGCTGCTACACTTTAAAAAAAAAAAGTAAGCATTTATCAAGGTTAAAGCCTGGACACAGTAAGCAAGGATAAGCAGAAATGCTTTCTTCTCTAGGTAAGACCAAATAAAGACCTGGGCTTGCCTCCATTGTGATAAAAATTTTGATTGTTTTACGTCATAAGAGGTCTCAGATTCCACTGAATACAATCGGGGGCGGGGGGAGGGAGGGCTGGCAGGAGGGAGTGGGAAGAACATGAATTTCTTTGTTAAACTGAACCTGCAGCTTAGGTATGTACACAGGTATCAAGGCAAGTGCTGGGAGATAGTCTGGGTGGTGAACAGTGGGTGATGGGGAGCAGGGAGTGGGAGCAAGTGACTTGACTGAATCACCTTCAGTTCTGTGCACGTGAGGAGGAAGTGTCATCATCGATCAGCACAGAGCGGGGACGAGAAACGAGCATGTGAGCCCACATCTTGAAATGTCCCCAGGAGGACGGGGGACAGGCTTGAAGCCATCACTCTAGAGTGTGCCCCACAGGAGAGGAATGTCGACACGCTGTTGGAGGAAGGGAGACCAAACTGCACCCAGAGCCCCAGGGCACACAGGACTTACATTCTTGGGTCAGAGGTCCATGTGGCTACGTGTGTTCTAACAACTGTGAGCTAATTGATGTGTAAGCAGTTAGAGCTCAAGGAAGAACACACAAAGTCAGGAGCCAGGTGCTAGGAGCTGGCACTCTCGGTACTAACTCCGCTCCCCTGGCTCCACGCCAGCCTCAACGCTGGGCCCACGCAGAGACCACCTCTCTGGCCCTGAGAAAGGCGTGGGTGGACGGAACCAGGTGCTCATGTTGCTGTAGACTTTTCTCTCGAATCCCATGCTTCAAACATAACATAATCAGCCTCTTTTACTGGACTTCGAAAGGCCATAGTGGAATAAATTCAGGGTTTATGATGGAAGGGCAGGTGAGAAGAGTAAGAATCCTGATACTTATTCCCTGAGAAAGTCTGGAAAGGTGAGGCATTAGGAGCTTGGGAATGTGCAGGAAAGAGTTACAGAGCAGGCCTGACACTGCCAATTTAGAAAGGCCTGCTGAAGGCTGGCCCCAGGCTGACCTCTGGGAACTTGGATTTCCAGAGGGTCACCCCCATTCCCTGATAAGAGTGGCTCCTTGTGCTTCAACTGTTTGTACAAACATTGTGGCTTACACTGAACATCTCCTTTCCTTCTCTGAGTCTGGGATTTTAGTATGTGCCAGGCAGAGACTGCCTATGTGACCAATCCCAATAAAAGTCCTGGGCACTTAGTTTCTAAGGAGATTTCTGGTAGATAACATTTCACACGTGATGTAACAACTCATTGCTGGAGGAATTAAGTGTGTCCTGAAATTTGTGCCTGGTTTCCTCCAGATTTTGCTGTATATCCTTTGGCTGTAATAAATCCTAGTCATCTCTACGACTATATGCTGCATCCTGTGAGTCCTCCTAGCAAATTACCGAGTCCAGGGGTGATCCTGGGGACCCCAAACAGAGGAAATTATCCCTGCATCCTTATTTGTTGTAAGTCATTACATTATTTTGTCTGACAATAAAAATTATGCCCTCAGAGCAGAAAACTTGCAAAGTACAGGAAACTGTAGCAAAGCAAGAAAAAAAATACTAATAACCCTTTAATCAAAAGGTTTTTTCCCCCAACATTTTATATAATATATTTGAGGTCTTAATAGGTAGGGAATTTGTACCCTACTTTTTGTTGTTTGTTGCTGTCAGTGCTTACTTGTCTTGGTTCTTTTGTTGTTGTTTGTTGTTAACATATCAGAAGCCATTCTCCACGTGTTTGAAATTCCTTGCAAAGATTATTTTAGTGGCTGCATAACTATGTTCATAATTGGCTCCCACATTTTCTGAAATCCCACTTTCAGTGTTTTGAGCTTTCCACTGCAATGATGCTGCAATGAATATATCTTTGACTTCTACACCCACCATGTTTATTTCCATAGTAGATATCAGTGCCTTGGAAAGCAGTAGAGGATGCCAGAGCATGGGTACAGGATTCACATAACTGCTGAACTCAAGGGCCCTGAGAAGAGAAGCTAAGTTTGAAAAGAGGTCTCCAATACTAGCTCTAATGACATATTCTTAACCCGTATCGCCAAAATAACGAATCTGTACCAAGACCTGGCTAAATAGTTGTGTTTGTTAAAATAACAACAACTGGCTTACCCAGTCAGAAGTTTTTATGTCACTAATGAGACTTCATCTGGGCAGCCTTTTCCACGTAGAAAAAATGTGTTTAAAAAAATCACAGTACATACAAGGTACATTGGAGGTACACAAAAACTGTTCTTTGGCTGGAATATAAGAAATGAGGCTGGAGAGGGAGGCCTTAAATGTCAGACGTCTTCAGGAGGTAATGGAGGGCTGTTAAATGTCTCCTGGGAAGGAGGTGGAGGTGAATCTGCTGGTGGTCGATGGGCTGAAATGGAACCAGGAGAGACTGGAGGCCGAGAGGCCACTGCACACGAGATTGAGAGAGATAGATTTTGACCAACAGCAGCGGGAACAGGAAGGAAGGTGAGAAGGAGAAAGCCCAGGACAGTGGAAACAGAGCTGGCTTTAAAGGGAGCCAGACTTAGGTCGAACTTCAGCTTTGGCTAATATTTATTAGCTATGTGACCTGAGCAAATCACTTAAATCTCTGAAGCTGTTTCCTCAACAGAAATATCTACGCCTATATTGTAGGTGATAATGAAGATGAGAACCAACCTGTATAAAGTATCCAGCATGGTGCCCTGTGATCAACGGTGAAAGTTGCTATCAAGACACTACAAGGAATGATGGATGAGACTTGGTCATTAGCTAGATATGGGAGAGAAGAAATCAAAAATATTCCAAAATATGAAGCCTGGGTAACAGGAAGACTAATAGCTACTGTATTAAGCATTATGCATCGAAACTCTGCTATACACTTATAGATATTATCTCATGTAATCCTCAAATCAACCCTATGAGTTCAATATTAATGTTTTCCTTTTAAAATGAAGACATTGAGGCTTAGAGAAAATACAAAATTTGTTCAGGTCAATTGAGCTAACAAGTAGTAGAGTCAGGGTACATTTACCAACTCGGACTCAGAAATCATTTATATTTTACAAATGTGGAAACTGAGGCCAAGAGGTTGAAGAATTTGCCTAAAGTTACAAATTGGATGGTGGCAAAGCTGGAATTAACCTGGTCTCATGATTCCCCGTGACACTATAACAGGTGAGCTAACTGGGGAAGGGATACACACAAATCATAGTTTCACAAAGATAATGATTGAGAAGATGAGTTATTTCCAGGAAGAGCTCTACAGCAGAGTATGACCAAAACTCAGGAAAAATGTGTGGAAGGAGACCTAGGAGTCACCTCCTAGAGGGGATGGCTGCTGCCTTGGGAGTAAATGAGCTTCTCAAGGGAAAGAATGAAGAACATGAAAAATAAGAAGGCTGAAGACAAGCCTCATGCTCCACAATGAGAAGGCCAAAGACCGAAAAAGCGAGAGACCTCAAGTCCAGGGGTTCTGTAGACCCAGAAAAGCACAACAGAGTTAACAGAGCTGAAGCCTGCAAATAGGGCAGGGCACAGAGAAAGGCCATTGGGTTTCATGATCAAGCAATTGCTGGTGACCTTGGGAATAATAATTTGGGACCAATGGTTTAGGAGGGAGCAGGAGGTAAGATCCAAATGCAGGCCTCTCTTTCTAGAAATCTGCCAGTAAAAGAAGAGAGAAAAAATATCTAAATGAAGGAGCAAGATTCTGACGGAAGACTGTTTTGAAGGAGAGAGGATGCCAGCACATTTGAAGAGACCCAAGTTGAGCAGAGCCTGAGGATGCTTAGAGAGAAATGGAGCTATCTGAAGGTCCACGGGTCAGACGAAGCTGGAGAGGATTCCGTGGAGAACACAGGTGAAGGGGTCAGTCTTGGGAAGGTGGAGAAACATATGAGACTTGAGGGAAAGAGGAACAGGTGAAAATGTACAGATGTGTGAAGGTACTGGGCCTACAGATTTGTTATTAACTTCCTGCCCCCAAGGACCTTGGTAGCTTGTAGCTTGTTCATGCTTTCCGCCCAGGACTTTCCCATGAGTCATCCTACACCCGGGAGCATTGCCCTGTGCAACCTGCTTGTCTGCCAGGACCATGTGATGTCATGAGACATAGCTCTTATTCTCAACTCAAAGGCAAAACAAATCCATACAATACAGTGTCACTTAGGAAGTCCCCACTTACATCTCAGTTTCACAGCATCCCTACTCACGGAAAAGCCTATATGTTAAGAGAGCAAAAGGGTCAGGTGGGAATCCACAATGCTGGGGGATGTCACATAAGGGTCCCTAAACTGTCAAAACTGATCACCTTTAAATCATATTTCTAATCACCCACCTACTTGTCACAGTTTGATCTTTGTAATATTTAAAATATTTTGCCTAAACCAAAGAAGGGTTTCATTAGTAAGGTGTTACTCAGGGTCTCTCTCCTCCCTGGTTGGGGCAAATTAGTAAAGAAAGTAGAAACCTTCAGGATGCTGAACTTATTCTCCAAATTATCCAGAAAGAAAATGACTTTGAGAGAGAGAGAGAGGAAGGCTTTTATTCCTTTACCCTTCACACCAAGGAATTTATAATTCCTTAACGAGAAGAAGAAAATCCATTAATACCTTTTCCTAAAAAGCTAGGACAAAACCAGACCTCCAGACTCAACAAGAGTCCCTGGATTCTGCCCATAAAATTGGCCATTTTAAAAAGATTCCATTGTCTGCTGTGAGCCTGGCTGAGTGCTAGCCTCTCCTCCATAGTGAGTATGCAGCCCCAGCTCAATGACTCAGCTGAGCCAGGATCCTGACTTTGCCATCACTTCAATGGCACACCAGGGGCAGAGCGGGGTGGGGGAGAGCCCACCCCAGGAGCAGGCAGTGAGGGTACCCAGTCTGTAGAAACTAACAATAATAAAACTGACCACAGGTTGGTCTGCCTGAATTACCCAGTGACAGCAGTTCTTAACAATGTCAGTGACAAGATACACCTTCCCACAGGGCACCTGGCCCTGGGTACCCTATTGTCGCCCCCCAACTAGTTACCCTTTCTGTCCTGGGACTTGTTTACCGTCCCCTTCTGTGTCCACTCCAGCTCCATAGTTATTAACACCTCCGCCTCCAAGCCTCAGTCTGGGGCCTACAGACCCTGAGACAGGAGAGCAAGGAGTCGGGAGGAAGGGAAAGAGGAGGCGAATGGCACGTGTGGTCCCCAAGGAATCTCACGTCGTAATGAATCCAACAGCCACAGGCGCAGAGCCCTTGACTCTCCTGGCACTGCCTTTTCCCAGACAGCAGCATTTTCTACACAGTGCTCAGAAGTTCTACAAATATTGGATTCACATCAATGGGCTTGGCAAAAAGGCAATGGCCGGTTATTGCAGATTGTTGTCCCAGAAGTGCCTACAGAGTTGCTCTGAGTGAGGCTGGGACTGTCTCGGAGGGGAGCCCTGACCCCGCCGCTTTGTACCTACTGCACCCCCCACCATGACTTTCCCGACAGGCCCAAACCCCCGAGGGCTGAGGTGCCACGTAAAATAAAAACATTTCCCTGATTAAAAAAAGGTAAAAGTTTGAAAACCTCTTACAGCATTAACATTTTAAAAGCACAACTTTATAACCAAATTGAAAATGAAGTTTGTACAAGTGTTCAAAGTTCTTTCCTGAATATTCTCTTATGAGTTCTCATGTTCCCCTGAGAAAGTGTGGAGGGAAATGGAAGCCCTTCCTCTGCAGATTGCTCTTGGTGATTTGAAGAAGTCGGATGACTTTTTGAGGACAGAAGACAGCTCTTGGGTCTTGTGCTTTAGAATACTGAATGTTAAACCAACTAGACCTGTTACATCGTCCTTTGCTAAAGGTCCCAGATGCCAACAGACACATCAGCTGACTTTCAGGATAGCGCCAACTGGCTGTGATAAGACAAGACTGTGTGATTCAACTTCAGTTTCAACATCCACATGTGGGAGTTGATGGGAAGAGGAAGTTATCCATGCTCACCAAAGCTATTGTCCTCAGCATGATGGAGGAGGCGCAGCACCTCTCATTAACTTCTCCCTACCTCAGAACCAGCCTACGGCCTCAAAGAATCATCTATCCCACCTCAACACCGCCCTAAGTAACCAAGTAAACGTGGTGCCTTTCTGAGACACTCACACTGGAGGTCAGCACCTGTCTTCAAAGTTTTACTATTCCTTCAGGGACTATAAAATCTTGAGATAGGAGATGAAGGGGTAGGGAGTAGGAGGAACAGGAGGTGAAGGGCAAATGTACCTCCTAAGGAAAATTCCCAGGACACCCTCTGGAGAGACTCAGGGGCTCCCCACTCTTGCTCTCATCCTATGACTGCGTTTGTTCTGGAGAGCCCGACTCAACCCAAATCCTTGCAGACACCAGACCACCCTCACGAGTATCCCAGCTCCAGAAGAGCCCTCCCCGCCATCACCCCCACACACAAATAAGAACAATTTTCTTCTTTCCTATTTTGAAATTGAAATGATTGCCCACTGGAGGGTGCTATAGTTATGTATCATAAAAACCTTAATAATACTGAAAATCATAAAAAATTAGCAACTACATAAAAGGCTTTAAAATGGTGTGGAAGACTACATCATGTAATATAAAAAAAAGATGCTCACAAATAATTTTTAATAAATTTTCAAAATGATCTCAATATAACATTAAAATCCTAAAGGTAAGCCACAAGACGATAAAAAAAATCCGATCCCAAGTTATTTTTTAAATGCAAGTAAGAAAGAGACTAGAAGAAAATATAACGAAATATTAATATGGATGGGCTTTATAGGTAACTGAACATGTATTATTTTCATATTCATAATAAAAAATAAATAAAATGAGATACGTATATACTTAGCACCATGTAAGTTTTCCTTCTGTACACACATACAACACAAATATAATAGTTATTTCTAAAATAAGTTAAAATAATGACAGCTTACACATACATGTTCCACAAAGTTTTAAAAACTCTTTCAAATACATTATTCATATTATCATTATAATAATATACCATGTATATCAGATGATGTACAATAATTATCTTTACTAAAAAAATTATGAAAAAAAAATTCAAACAAGCAGGTGTAGAGATACAATAAAATATAAATTAGTGTTTAAGTAAATTAAAAGTTAAGAAATCTTCAAGATCCAATGGGCAGAGTTTAAAGTAAAACGATGGTGTTCATACTTCTTCCAGAGCTCATAAAACAAATAAAAATGAAATAACACCAAAAAACAGGAATCATGTATATCTCCCATCCATACAACATATCCCACACCAGTTTTAAATTCATACTATAAATAATGAAATAACAATGAGTATACCTTCCATTTCAGTGTCAATCATAAGCATTAAACAAGTTTTCAAAATGGAACAACTTAGTCATGTTTAAATCTTCTTACCTCCAATAAGACATAAGCTTATGATGACTACAGTAATGAGACTTAGGAAAATAGAGGTGATGACCATCCACAGTTTGCACTTTCCAATCACATTCTTATTACAGGAGCTCCAAGAGCTTTCCTCGTTAGCCTGGAGAACAGAGGGAGATAGTGAGGCAGTCATTTGGTTTCAACAAGCATTTCTGAATACTGACTATGGGCCAGTGATACAGAAATGAAGGCAGCAGGATCCTGACTTCAAGAGGCTACATTCTACTGAGTCAAGTTTACAGTGGGGCAGAACGGAACCTCACAAAGAAGTTAGCAAGAAAATGCTCAGGGGGCTCTGAGGTGGGAAGGATAGGCAAGATTTTGAAGGATGGACAGAGAAAGGCATTCCAAACCCAGGAAAGAGCATCCTTGGTGTTGACTCACAATGGAACTGGCCAAGAGACCGGTCTGAGGCGAATGTGAGTTTCAGAAGTAATGAGAGTTAAGATTAGAGAGTGCAAGGATGGAGCATATTCGAGAGAGCTTTGAATGTTGCCAGAGCAGTTTGGGCTTAATCTGTTGTGTACTGGGAACCTGTTGAAGGTCCTAGAACACACGAGCTGAGCTGAAGATTAAGAGAAAAATGATGTGTGGTTTAGAATGGACACACCAAGAAAAACCTAAAAACCTACTGCTGTGGCCCAAACTTGGTGTAATCAGGGCCTGGGAAGTGAAATGAAGGGAAGGACGGGACAGACACCAGGAAATAAGCTGCAGTGGGCATAGTGAGGCGGAGTGTGGAGTCAGAGCAAGTAATTACAACCGCCACGGTTTATTGAACACTAACACCATTGCACCTCATTCTAACAGCCCTGCAAGGGAGGATTAGCCCATTTCAAAGACGCAGTTCAGAGAGATTAGCAGGACTAACCCCGGCTGTGTCACTGCAAAGCCAGAGCACTCTCCCTCTTGTCCACAGCCTCCCGGCGTCACTGTGCACAGCTCCAGGTTATGAACGTGCCTGGCTGTCACAGGGTGCCTCCACTCTCAGCGTGGCTGCCTGCCCCTAAAAGGCTCCATGACTCTTCTCCTACTTCCCACTGAGCCGTTAGGCAATTCCCACGTGGAGACCAAGGGAAACAACAGACTATGATGGGGGAAAAGTGTGTTTCTGTATCAGGATTCCAATCCCAGTAATACCACTTAAAAGCAGGGTGACTATCAGCAAGCTACTGAAACTCGCCAGCCCCCAAGCCCTCAACTGTACAGCATATAAACAACAAATCTAGCTCACAGGGCTGTTGTAAAAACTAGAGATCAGGTACATGAAGCACTTGCTAAATAAATATTAGGAACTCAAGAAATGAGAACAATTGTTACTTAGCGTGTGCACCCATCCCACAGAGCAGGAACAGGCAATTCCCAAGGCTCGCTCCTGCATCGACACCTAGTTCACTTCTCTCCCATCATGATTCTGCTGGTGGCCATCAGAAAAGGAAACTGTCCACATTAGGAAGGACTACAGTTCAACCTTTCTCAACGAGAGGTTCACAAGGCCGGCCACACATCAGAATCACCTGAGGAGGAAGGTAAACTCTACAGACCTAGGCCCTCCCTGGACCTCGGGGACCAGACTGTAGGGGAGGTGGAGGCAGGCCCTGGCTTGTCATTTTAAGCCTCCCAAAGTGAATCAATTGCTTTACTAGAGCTGAGACCTCTGGTCTGAAGCCTCCTCACTCTTCAGAGCCACGTCAAATATCTCCTTTGTGGGGGCGTCCCTACCACCCCACTGCCTGATCTGGTTTCATGTTCAAATAGAGACAGATATGGGCCTTATCTTCCTAGGCAAAGTGAAACGGCACAGGGGGAGAGGAGGTCCTTAAACTTCCCTGTTCTTATATCCCACACTTGGGCCTCATACAGATAACAGGCAATTAATAAATGAGTGTTGCTTGGTTATAGAGGGCTCCAAAAATTTTAAGAATGTACTTTGAGAAAGTCTAGAGTAGAGGTCGCACCGTGGAGCCCCTGAGTGCATCTTAGACCGGCTCTTTGGGTCAGGTGTGAGGGGCATAATGAAGGCCCTGGAAATATCTGGACAGAGGAAACCCTCTTGTTTCTGGAGTCCAGGGACAGAGCCACCTCTCACCCCCACCAAAGACTGAGAACTGCTCCAAAGTCACCAAAACCAGGTGCTCAATAAGGCACAGGGGAAAAAATTCTCAGTACAAGGAAGCTTTAACTTCTCAGGGGACAGAAACATATCTTCCTATTTACAGAGCTCCCGACACACGTGCCATTTTCAGTCCTTATACAAGAGACAGTGGGGACCATAAAGATGAGTACAAAATGAAATGGTCTGGAGTCTCAAATGACTGCAGAACAAGGGTCCATGCACCTCTTTTGCCTCTTGTGCCGTCACATTCACTGTCCCCCAAAGATCACAAACTAGGACCCTAGTGGTTTGAGAAGATCACCATTCTGTGACTTCCTGGGGGAACTCAGCTCAGAATCACACTGCCTTCATCTGTAGGAAATGCCTCTTCCTGTCCAGCCCTAAGCTGTCACCCTACACCATGGCCCCCTTCCCTGTCCTGTTGTCAGCCCTAAGGCAGAGGCCACTATCCTTTGCACGATTAATCTTCCCAGACGAAGTCATCGTAAAACAGTCTGTCAATCACTCCCAACCCAACAACAGAGTACAGGGCTTCTCAGCCATCTGCACATTAGAATCAACAAGGAATTAGCATTTTTTAGAAGTGCCCCCAGGAGATTCCACTGTGCCTTGACGGTGGAGAGCTTCTGATACAGTAGACGTACACTACCTGTGCAGATGGATCATGAAAACACACGGCCTCCTTCACTGGCTTCTTCATTCTCTCTTGCCAATTCTAGGTCATGAGGAGAAGCCACAGGCAGGTTCTACTTTAGGGTGCCTTCCAAAGGTTTTTACAAACTGCATCTTACATTCTATGATTGCATTACATAGGCAAGAATCTTTGTGGCTTTTTGATGAACATTCCCCCAGACATTCACATCCCTCCTCAGATAAGGGTCCAAATACACAACACAAAGTCCCACAACAATGGCAGGACTGCCTATCTCTTGAACATAAAAAGCTTTTCTTCTCTTTGGCTCAATCAGGAGTAGATACTATACAGATCAGGGGAAAATTTCTTAGCATGTAGTAAAAACTGTACTTTGTAATCTTCATTGTAATTTAATCCATGTGTTGATCCAAGCACGAGACAGACCGTTGATTCTTGTCCTAAATTCTGAACAACGAGCAGCAATGGGCTAATTTTTAGCTGGCCTGTTCATATAAGTCTTGCCTGCCTCTAAGTTATCAATGTACCGGATTATTATTATTATAATGATGCTGCCATCCCTTAAAACTTCTCTAGGACTTCTATTTGGAAACTGAGGTCAGAGCCCATGTAATGAGCCATAAAAAGAAAACCAGTCTCACTCTATTATCCTTAATTTCTTTTTCACTTTTGACCCTACTACATTGCCGTGTTTATAATGACAGCAGGCAAAGTGAAGTTCATTCCTTTCCCTCAAGCCCCAAACCCAGATCAAGAAAAAGAAAGAAGTTCTTTCCATTTCCTTTAAGCCCTTCCAAGTAGGAAGAGACCCAGGATATGGGATGTCTTCTTCCCATGATCCTAAAATTCTTCCCTACTCCCCACCCATCTACTCATCCACCTGCTACTCCCTCATCATTCCAGATACGCTGCTCAACTCCTCATATTCACTTAACTTCCCTAAGAGAAATTAGTAATATATAACTTAGACAATTATACATAAATGAGTATAAATTACATATTTATATATGTAAATTATATCTTAATATGTATCTATATACATATAAAATAAATCAACAAAAACAGCATAGGTTTGAGACCTAAAAAGCTTGAGTTCAAATCTCAGAGCCACCACTGAGTAAACTTCAGTATTTTGGTAAATCCTCTGAGCCTCAGGCTCTTCACCAGTTTCCCCATCTGTCAAATCAGAATACCGACACCTTCCTCTTAAATTTGTTGTGATAATTCAATGTATTTATGTATCAGAAGTATTTGGCACACGATAGGTACAAAACATGTGGTTAATAAAAATCACGGACTTAAGCTACATTTCAAAATTGGAAACCTTTACAGATAGTTTAAGGAGACCCACACATAAAATTCTTAAGAGTCTGAATCTTGTGCCTGTGCTAGCCAACACTTTGAAGGACGCAACATTTATAGACTTTTCAATTTAAAATACACTTCAACTTATTCTATAAAAGCAAAGACGATGATTAACACATTAGATGAGGATTTTTTTCTCTTTTTTAAAGTTTTTCCTGTTCAAGCATTTCTAGAATGTAACCTCTCACCTTCACGCCATTCTGTTTCTCACCACAGCTTTCCTACTCGATGACCTACAAAGCTAATTCACAAGGAAGTCTAGGATATCTGTACACACCTGACTAACGAGGAAGTAATCAGAACATGAAAGAGCAATCTCACCTGGGCAGGTGCTAAACAATGACAAAATACTGATGCCCTATGTGTGTTCGGCATGTTCTACTCCGCACTGTTTTCAATGAGGCATTCCCAGGCTACATTCCCAGACCTCAGTGCCTTGCTCCAGGACCCACCTTTTAGCAGTGAAGCTGTCACCAGAACCCGGATCTCTGGATTCAGTCCTAAACCATGGAGTCTTCGGGGTGTCCTGGGTTTATCTAATATGAGGCAAGTATTCCCAATTCGCGTTCCTAGACACTGCCTTGGAGGATCCATACAGCAAGTCCGCGGTTGTGACCTAGTGCACAGGGATCAGACCATCTTCCTCTAACTTTCATTCTTCTGTGGTGTTCATCTTTCATTCAAATATAAGGTGCTAAACTACTCTCCAGGGTACCGAGAGGTATCTATAAAGGCACACTTTACAGTGTTTCCAGGAATCAATGCAGAGGCAAAAGCAATGCTCTCAATTTTTGAATTTCCTGCTTAGCCCTGAAATCAATAGTTGAGCAGCCAAAGGGGTGGGAGTTGACCTAGAAAGATCAGGTTGGAAGCATATATATATGCAGGGAGTTCCAGGTACCCAGCAAACCTCAAACCAGTCTCAGGGGTTAATCAGAAGACAGATGGCTCGAATTCAAAGTCTCTGCTGTTTTACATGCATTTGATGAAAAGAAATAATGCTCCTGTCACTGCTAGGGCTGAATCAGAAAAGAGCTCAGCCTAAACATCCATCACCAAGGCCTTCCTCTGAGATTGAGATGAGGCGTAGCTAGCTCTTTGGGACAAGAACTTTGAAATTATTTCCCTTCAGTTGAGCAGGGCAAGGTCGCCCCCCAGACCCTCTCGTTCTTGCTGCTTTCTGCCCTCTCCCTTCTCTCTTCCTGAGAAATCAAATGGCCAGACCCGGAAAAGACAGCAAGTGTGTGTCTGGGGGATGGTGAACAGGCATGAGGGATGGGGGGGGGGGGGGTGAGAAGTAAGATAGGGTGGAGGGTGGGTAGAAGTAGCAAGGCAGTACAGGAAAGGCTGAGGCAAAGAGATTCTGAAGAAAAGGATAAGCCCCCATCTATCACTCTAGTTCTCCCTACTTGAAAAACTGAAAGTTACAGAACTTTTTTAAACCACTCCTATCTCTGAGGGCTCTCTCTCTCAAGAGGGGAGCGGCACACCTCACAAACAGGATTCCTCACGTTCCCTGGGGGCCGGAGGGGTCGAGGGGGCTCAGGCGGGCTCAGTGTGGAGCGCACCCGGGTGTCCGCTCCATTCAGAATCTTCCAGCGCGCACCTGCACCCGCGCCCGCCGTCTGTGCGCGCGGAGAGCTGGCTGGCGCCCCGAAACCGCGAGCGCCAGGCCCGGGTCCTGGCCGGCAGCCTGGCTCAGAGCGCGCTCGGATCACGCCGCCAGCGCCCAGGAGACCTTACCTGGGCTGGGTAGGGCTCCTCGGCTGAAGAAGGGATCACCTGGACGGCTCCATTGAGAGGCGTCTGCTCGTCCGGCAGCCCTTCGAGCACAGAGAGCTCCAGCTCATCTCCCGGCGACGGAGGCCTGGCCCCTTCCATGGACGGGCAGAGGAGGACTAACCAGCCCGAGGGCAGCAGGACGAACACACCCGAGGGTGCAGAGTCCAGAGCGGCCTCCCGGGTGGCTCAGTCTCCACCTGGGAGGAGGGCGGGGCGGGGCAGACCTCCGGCGGCGGGAGGGCGGGGCGAGGCGAGCGAGCGTGGGCGGGGCGAGCGAGCGTGGGCGGGGCGAGCGAGCGTCGAGCACTTGGGCGGGGGAGGCTGCCCTGGATCCTGCAGGGTAGAGCAGCTATGCCTTGCCATGGGCTCCCGAGCAGAGCAGAGGAGGGCTGTTTTTCTGGTTTGTTCTGGGCGCTGCCTGCTCTGCCTTTCCCTGTCGGTGCAGCTACAAAGCGGAAGGTGAGCCGAGGGCCTGGTTGGGTGGCGGGCTAGGCACGCATGGGCCCGGCAGCGCCATGCCACGGGAGAAAGTTGGCATTCCACCCCAGGAGCTGTCTGTTGCCAGGGCTTGCCCTAGCTTTCGCTGCCGTGCAAAAGTTTATTCATTTAACCAACAAATAATTATGCATCTCCTGCGTGCCAGGCATCGTGCGAGGTTTTGAGCATCTGAAGATGAATAATACACACGAACACACTCCTTCCTCTTACAAGTCCAGAGTTGGGCGAAGCGACAGTATCGAGGGGTGGAGGGGACAGCAGACTCTGGAACCACGTTGCCCGGGTTCGTCCTCTCTCGGAGGGTTCCTAACTGTGAGACCTGGGGCTTCATCTCTGTGCCAGAGTTTCCTCATCTGGAAAGTTGGCATAATGTTAGTACCCATCTAATGGGGCTGTTGCCAGGATTAAAAGAATGGATGTCAGTAAAGCACTCAGAACGGTGACTGACACATAGCGAACGTTCATAACTGTTGGCTATTATTGTTATTTATGTTTAGGGGCACAAGTCACGGACCCTCCCTCCCCAACCTGAGGAAAAAGCACACACCCACACAGGATCCATTGTTCAGAACTTCTGGTTTAGTGAGCCTGGGGTTATGTTTGCTAAGCACAGTGTGTGGTGATCATCGCAAGCTTCTGTTCAGAGCAGGCTTGCCACCCCCCCCCACCACTTCTCTCCCCTGCTCCCAACACACATGTATACTGAGACAGGTTTGAAGTGTGGATAGGGTGCACATAAATAAGCTCCACTTCAGAAAACGTTGACTTGTGTCCAAAAGTCTGGCCCTTCAAAGCCTACCGTTCAGACACCGCCTAGCTATCGGGTCTCTAGTCGTCTCTTGCCTGCTACCAGACCACCTGGACTTGGGACTCCATCTGCCTGCTGGATGGGGTCGTGCTGGCCTGCGTTGACTTCTGCTTTCTCTGCTGTACCAGGCAGATCCTGCAAGAATCAGGCTGCACTCTTGGCTGGGCTTTTTGAGGAGGCTTTTAAATGAAGGAGTAAGGGTTAAGGGAAGCAAGAAGAGGTGCGGAGGCACCCAAGGACTGGCAACAGCAGAAACCCATCAGCACCCCTAGGCCTAAAAGGGACTGCAGCTTGATTAAAAACTGGAGCCACTCAGGAGGGGCCTCCTGACAGGCTCTGCAGTCACAAAAAGTTGCAGCCACTGCCAAGACTGCAGCCCAGCAGGGACGAAGCAGAGAAGAATACATGTTCCGACCTCTCTCCCCACCTGCCAGTCTCCTGCCCATAAGTCCCATTGGAAACTGTTGATGGAGATTGGGAGTCAGCTTCCCGGGGCTCAGAGCAGAGCAGAGAATGAATCTGGGGTGCAAAGAGAGAGGTACCTACGTGTATACCTTTGCCTGCAATAACTGACATCTAGTCTTCCTTCTCAGGTGTTCCCTAGTCAGGAGACCCCTCTGGTCTGACCGGATTCCTCTTCCTGGCTGGCCCTTACCTATCCCACTGTATGTTCCCCTCCCCCCACCACTGCTTTGTATACGCTGTTACCTCCGCTTGGAATGTTTTTCCTCCCACCCCACCTTCTGCATGAACAACTCCCGTTCATCCTTTAAATCCTAGCTGAAATGGACTTTTTTCCAATAAACCTTCCCTGACTCCTCTTCTCCACCGAAAGTTATCCACACTCTTCTCTGCTACCAATGCATGGTGTACCTGTGCTAAATGTCACATATTCAGTCCAATTTAACTCAACAAGTAGTATTGAGGGTTTGCTACGTCTCAGGCATTCTTCAGGGTGCTTGAGATATGTCTGAAGAGATACGGAATAAAACAAAATTGCTGCTGTTGTGAGGCTTACATTTAATGAGGGGAAACAAACTTAATAAGTAACATTTCCGGAATATTAAAAGGTGACGTGCTATAGGAAAAAAAGTAAAGCAGAGTAAGGGAGGACGGAGTGCTGAGTGATGAAGGTTGGAGGAGGAGGCAAGTTGCAATTATAAGTAGAATGATCGACTTAGGCCTCATTAAGAAGGTGAAATTTGAACAAAGAGTTAAAGGTGGTGAGGGAATTCGCTGTGCAAATTTCTAAAAGAAGAGGGAACTCCAGGACACAGGACCTGAGACTGGAGCCTGCTTGACTTTTACTGTCGGAGAATCAATACAGAGGCCAGAACGGCTGAAGTGGAGGATGAGCAGTGATTTTTTTTCTTTGTCTGTCATGATTTGTGTAAACTCCTTGACGTAGCTATGTATTCCCAGTATTTAGCTCTCTGTTTAGCCCAGTGCCCTCTATAAGTGTTGATTAACTTGAACGATATTCTTAGCAATGACGGTTTCCTAGGCCCAGGGCCTGAGACCCCAACTAGATGCAGCAAGACCTCTCAAACGCCAACCCCATCCTCACCCAGAGACCAGACAACCTTTCCCACAGTGTAGGAGCTCAGTCTCAGTGGGAGATTCCCTTGTCATGTCAGATGAATTGCAGCTAGCTTCTAAGCCTGGATTCTCCATGAACAGATGTCCAAAATCTCCTTCACTCCCCCAAAGGACCAAAAAGCTACTGTTTCCTGTCACAAGCACACTCTAAACCAGATCTCCCCATGCCTTCTGAGCACCGTAAAGCAAGGTTTATGTGTTCTCTAATCTGCACTCGGATGCATTTCCAGAATTCCGTAAGCCTAGCACTTGTACACTGTTGACATCCCTATGGTGGAATAGGTTTTGAAGACAAGCACAGTTGGGATTGAATTTAGACTCTCACTATCTGTGTGTTCTTGGGCAAGTTGTTTAATGTCTATGAGCTTCTTTCCTCATTGTAAAATGATTCCTACCCAGTAGAATTAGGAGGATTAAATGAAATAATTAAAGTAAATGTATTTTTATTTATTTCTGTGCCTGACAAAGCAGAATCTCAGTAAATATCTCATTTTCCATGACTATAAGTGTCTTGTAGGCAATAGCCAACCACCCCAACCCTTTGTACCCAGCAATAACCATTGCTTCAATATGTTTTCTTTTGATATTGATTCGTTTTCCTGCCCTGTCACATTTTCTTGATCACTGACACTTGCCAACACCTCTCAATATTACCTGAACTACTTAAATTCTTACCTGTAACCTGTTCCTAATTTCTGGTAACTGCACGTTGCTTTATCTCCAGACAGCTGACCTAGAACGGAGATGAATGTCCCAACCCCTACTTGAGGACTTTCTTCATCCTGCCAGTCTGACTCCAAACCAAGGATTCAGAATGAGTTAGAAGAAAAACGTTTCTCTCGAGGTAGAACCAGATTTAGATTAAGTAATTCATGAGGAAAGTTAAGGATTTGTGAATGAGGAACCAAATTCTACCTAGATTTGTTTTTGCAATTTCTTCAAAATCTATTTCTATAGGAGTAGCTTTTTAAAGTGTATTTTTCTTTCATAAATAGTTCTTTAAACATGCTTTTTTTTAAGTGTATTGTTCTTGGGCTGGCCCTGTGGCTTAGTGGTTAAGTGTGCGCACTCTGCTGCTGGCGGCCCGGGGTTCGGATCCCGGGCGCGCACCAACGCACCACTTCTCCGGCCATGCTAAGGCCACGTCCCACATACAGCAACTAGAAGGATGTGCAGCTATGACATACAACTATCTACTGGGGCTTTGGGGGAAAAAATAAATAAATAAATAAAATTTAAAAAAAAATAAAGTGTACTGTTCTTGCACAAATAATTCTTTGTAATATAATTTAAAATTATTATGGACTCAATTGCTTAGTTTGTTCAAGGAGCCAAATTTAAATAACATTAAAAAACTGAAACATTCTTGTTGCCAAATATCCTTGGCATAACTGACCAGTACAGTCACAACCCGCATAATGATATTTTGGTCAACAACGGACCACATATACGATGATGGCCCTATAAGATTAATACCATATAGCCTAGGTGTGTAGTAGGCTTTACCATCTAGGTTTGTGTAAGTACACTCTGTGATGTTCACCCAATGACAAAGTCACCTAACAACGCATTTCTCAGGACATATCCCCATCATTAAGCGACGCATGACTATATGAGATTTTCAATTTTGCTTTTCTTGTCATAGTACTTGCTCTTCTCTCTTCATCTCCTTTAAGAGCAAATGATTTCCCAAATGGTTATCATATAAACCAAAAAATAAAGTAACATCATCAAAGTGACATCACCGAAGCACCAAGGTATCTCATTACCTTCAAATAGGTCTATGCCTCTTGAAAACACAACAGTTTGTACCCACACATGGTCAGATGGCAAGCAGTACTACTCTGAACATCAGCAATTGGGTCAACCACTCAGGCTAATGAAGCAGAAAACAACTGAGAAATAGTTGGTTGGCTTGTGATGTTTCATTTTGCAGTTTTCAAGGCACTGTGAAGGACAGCATGAGTCCCTACAAATTCTTCCCAATAGTTTGGCATATGGAAATGCTCCTGTCATGGTTTATGGAGGCCGTTCCACACTGCCAACTAAACCAGTCTTAGGATTTGCCTCGATTCATGCCTTTGCAAGAACGAAGTGATGATATTCCCATATCATTCAGGTTCTAAAGGCATCTTGGCATGAAATAGCCAAGTAAGTTAGGTTGGTGTTTCTCAACTCTTTCCCAACTCTTGCGTGCCGAGGAACGTGGTCCACTCACATTAGCACCAGCAAGTGCTTAGAGCAGAAGCACGTATGTGTGGTTTGAAAAGCTCACTCT